AGCCACCCCTCCTCCTCTTTGAAAGCGCCCAGATACGCCGAATAGCGCTTCAAAGCAGAGGTGAGGGCCGCCTTCATGTCCTCCAGGATCTTACCCACAGCCTGCATTCAAGAGGGGGGGAAGGGGGGGTGGGGGGGGGTTGGGGGGGGGGAGAACATGTGTAATCAGCATACCCTCTCCTCCTCTTCGAGCAGCGCCAGGTACGCCAAAGCGCTTCAGAGCAGAGGAGAGGGCCGCCTTCATGTCCTCCGGGATCTTACCCACAGCTTGCGTGGGGGAGTTGGAAAGGCGGGGGGAGGGGGAGAAAATGTGTGTTCAGAGGCCCCCCCTCCTCTGCGAACTAGTCCAGGTACGCCGAATAGCAGTTCAGGGCAGAGGCGAGAGCCGCCTTCATGTCGTCCGGGATCTTACCCACCGACTGGGAGAGGGGGACAAGACCGGGGGGGAGGAGGAGGAACGGGGAGTCCAGGTGCACTATATAGCACTTGAGAGCAGCGGAGAGAGCCGCCTCATGTCGTCCGGGATCTTACCCACCGCCTGCATTGCATGGGAGGGGAAGCGGAAAGCACAGCGGAAAGAACAGCGGAAAGAACAGCGGTGGATCTCAAACAACCGCCCTCCTCCTCTTTAAAAGAGTCAAGGTACATGAAGAGCGCTTCAGGGCAGAAGCCAGAGCCGCCTTGATGTCTGGGAAAGATCCGGGATCTCACCCACAGCCTGCAGGGCGGAGTTGGAGGGGGGGGGGGGGGGAAGGGAGGGGGGAGAGAAAAGGTGTAATCAGCGCACCCCCCCTCCTCTTTGAAAGCGCCCAGGTACGCCGAATAGCGCTTCAGGGCGCTTCATGTCAAACACTAGGGAGCAGCATCTCGTGGGGGGGAAGCGGAAAGAACAAGGGGTGTATTTGGAGGAGGGGGAGAGGGGAGAGGGGGGAGGGGGGCGAGGAGGGGGGATGAACAGGGAGTGTTTTCAAATCACCCCCCCTCCTCCGCAAACGCGGGACTTACCCCCAGCCTGCATTCAGTGGGGGAGGGCGGAAACGAAGGTGCTTCTCGAGCATTCCCCCTCCCCCTCTGTAAAGGCGTCCAGGTACACTGAATAGAGCTTATCTTTGCGATAAATAGCCTCACCTTCACTCATCACGGCTATAAGCAGCCTCACCTTCACTTATCCCCGCTATAAGCAACCTCACCCTCGCTAACCCCCACAATCATCAGACACAGCTGTGAAAGCCCACTATGCAAGTCAAGTCAAGTCAAGTCAAGTCCAGTCCAGTCCAGTCCAGTCCAGTCCAGTCCAGTCCAAACCAGACCAGACCAGACCAGACCAGACCAGACCAGACCAGACCAGACCAGACCAGACCAGACCAGACCAGACCAGCTCAGCTCCAACTTTACCTGCTAGTCAAACAACACGCTCATTCCTAGGACAAGCAGGCTAATGATCGCTGCTATAAGCAGACTCGTCTCGCCACCAAATTTGCACTGCACTCATCCAGCTCCAGCCTTTGCACCTCCAGATCTGCTTTTGAGTCGACTCAAAAGCAGTCGTGTCGCCACCAAATTTGCACTGCACTCATCCAGCTCCAGCCTTAGTACCTCCAGATCTGCTTTTGAGTCGACTCAAAAGCTGTCGTCTTGCCACCAAATTTGCACTGCATTCATCCAGCTCCAGCCTTAGCACCTCCAGATCCGCTTTTGAGTCGACTCAAAAGCAGTCGTCTCACCACCAAATTTGCACTGCACTCATCCAGCTCCAGCCTTAGCACCTCCAGATCCGCTTTTGAGTCGACTCAAAAGCAGTCGTCTTGCCACCAAATTTGCACTGCATTCATCCAGCTCCAGCCTTAGCACCTCCAGACTTTCCCAAGAGGCCTCCATCATTGAAAAGCAGAGTAATCCCCACTATAAGCCGACTCACCTCTCCGCCAAACTTGCCCCCGCTGAGTTCGTCCAGGTCCAGCCTCAGCAGCTCCAGCTTCTCCCCGAACACCCTCCGGTCACAAGCAGGCCCAATATCCCCGCTATAAGCGGACTCACCTCTCCGCCAAACTTGCCCCCACTGAGTTCGTCCAGGTCCAGCCTCAGCAGCTCCAGCTTCTCCCCAAACACCTCCACCGCCTCTGCTGCTGCTTTCAGGGATGTGAGAGCCTCCTTTGCCACCGCATCCCTGGTTGCAAAAAAAGAACGGTAGAGGCGGAGGGGCGGAAAAGCGCTGAGGTCCAACACCTAGTGTGGCTCCTCCAGCCCCAGCAGCTCTGCCTTTCCCCCACAGACTTCCACCGCCTCTGCTGCCGCCTTCAGGGATGTGAGAGCCTCCTTTGCCACCGCATCCCTGGTTGCAAAGAGACAGGAAAGTGCAAAGCCAGATTAGAACACCTTCCGGATCAGCAGCTCTGCCTTCTCCTCCCCAAACACCTCCACCGCATGTGCTGCTGCTTTCAGGGATGTCAGAGCCTCCTTTGCAACAGCATCCCTGGTAGCAAGCAAAACGGGAGAGGAGGAGGGACGGACGGGCGACAAATGCTGCTGGGCTGGGGTCAAGCACCTTCTGTAGCAGCAGCAGGCAGGAGCTCCAGCTTCTACCCAAGCACCTCCACCGCCTCTGCTGCTGCTTTCAGGAATGACAACGCTTCACTGCTGCCTCTAGGAATGCCATTCCTAGAGGCGGATATTCCTGAGGAATCACTAGTGATTCATCGCCTCCTCCGCCTCTAGTGATGAATCACTAGCATCACTGGTTGCAAGCACAACGGGGACGGAGGAGGGACGGACGGACGACGAATGCTGGGCTGGGGTCGGGTCTAGCACCTTGTGTGGCAGCAGCTCCAGCTTCTCCTTTGGAGCTCAATCACTGATGGTGGCGGAGGGGAAAGAAAGGGGAAAGGAAGGAAGAGTAACGCATGCGTGTGCGTGTGCGTGTGCGGCAAATGCTGGGCTGGGGTCTAGCACCTGCTGTAGCAGCAGCTCCAGCTTCTCCTTGGCAGCTGAATCACTGACGGAGGAGGGGAAGGGGGATTAGAGGAAGGAATCCATTCAAATCCCAGCTTCTCCCAGAAGGGGGGAAGGGGGGACAAGGAGGGGTGGGAGAAGGAGCGGAGAAGCCGCCGCGTCTGGGCGGTACGACTTGACCCAGTCTGGGGTGGATCGGGGAAGACAGGCGGGGAGGGGTGGGGGGGGGAGTGGGGGGTGGGGGAGAGGGGGGTGGGGGAGGGGGGGGTGGGGGGGGGAGGATGTGGTGGAAGAAGTAGAGGGTAAGCCAGGCATAGAGGATTATGGGGGAGGGCAATGCTAGACAAATCGCTTACACCTTCGTAAGCCAGCGCCTCAGAGTGGAAATAAAAAAATGTGTTGTGACATACGAGAGAAGGGTCGAATCCTTTCTTTTACTCTAGTAGAGGCACCCCAGAATTCATGTCGACTCAAAAGTCACACGGAACTTCCGCCACATTTACGAGGCTGTGTGAGAGAAGCGGCCTACTGTTGAAGTTTGGGCGGCCGCCGTGGCGGGGGAGAGAGTTGGCGCGGTTCGGTAGAAGCAAAAGAAGGCAGGCCACGACGACGACGAGGAGAAACGTAGCACAAGGATTCCGAAACTCTAGCCTCATGGCGACCGTTAAATGTAATAATTTTAGAGCTGAGAGCTTTTAGAGCCTTCTCTTATGTCTGTAGAGTGCGGTCCCAATGCGTCGTGCGAGGCGCGCGGACTATAGTGCACTAACGACGAGAGGTACGCGAGGCGACGACGATTACAGTACGGGGAGTGAGGTTGGTGCAACTTATAGTGCACTAACGACTATGCGTGTGCGTGTGCGGCAAATGCTGGGCTGGGGTCTAGCACCTGCTGTAGCAGCAGCTCCAGCTTCTCCTTGGCAGCTGAATCACTGACGGAGGAGGGGAAGGGGGATTGGAGGAAGGAATCCATTCAAATCCCAGCTTCTCACAGAAGGGGGGAAGGGGGGACAAGGAGGGGTGGGAGAAGGAGCGGAGAACCTGCCGCGTCTGGGCGGTACGACTTGACCCAGTCTAGGGCGGAACGGGGAAGACAGGCGGGGAGGGGTGGGGGGGGAAGAGGGGGTGGGGGAGGGGGGGGTGGGGGGGGAGGATGTGGTGGAAGAAGTAGAGGGTAAGCCAGGCATAGAGGATTATGGGGGAGGGCAATGCTAGACAAATCGCTTACACTTTCGTAAGCCAGCGCCTCAGAGTGGAAATAAAAAAATGTGTTGTGACATACGAGAGAAGGGTCGAATCCTTTCTTTTACTCTATTAGAGGCACCCCTGAATTTATGTCGACTCAAAAGTCACACGGAACTTCCGCCACATTTACGAGGCTGTGTGAGAGAAGCGGCCTACTGTTGAAGTTTGGGCGGCCGCCGTGGCGGGGGAGAGAGTTGGCGCGGTTCGGTAGAAGCAGAAGAAGGCAGGCCACGACGACGACGAGGAGAAACGTAGCACAAGGATTCCGAAACTCTAGCCTCATGGCGACCGCTAAATGTAATAATTTTAGAGCTGAGAGCTTTTAGAGCCTTCTCTTATGTCTGTAGAGTGCGGTCCCAATGCGTCGTGCGAGGCGCCGCGGACTATAGTGCACTAACGATGAGAGGTACGCGAGGCAACGACGATTACAGTACGGGGAGTGAGGTTGGTGCAACTTAGTAAGGCGAGGCCAGAGTAGGCAGATTCTCCTTTTGGCGTGATTCCGTTTCGAGTAAAACACGCACATTGTACACCAAGTTTTTCCGCTACACATTCGCCATATATATGGGACAATAGGCATATAAGCCCCCATATATCGATATTTAAAGAAATTCTCAAATTACATATGAAATGAGTCGTCAAACTACCTCCTCTGCGGTCCACCCAATACAAAAGGTAGCTCCCACCACCAGGCCTTCCATCTTACAATCGTAGTGCGCTAGCTTCAGCTGCTACGGTGTGGTGTGGTGCCTCTTCAATGAGTAAACCAACAGAAAACATTGAACCACGAGCATATTTCCGCAATACTGCCTCAAGTTCCAGGCCTGTGTAGGAATCAGTGTCCTCGTTGCTCAATGTACGATCCAGAGAGGCCCGATGTGCCCAGCAGACTAATCTGCAGCATGCGGAAAGGGTGGAGTAGGTGGGAGCGGGGGGGGGGGGGGGGGGGGGGTTTGGTGGGAGAGGGGGGTGGGGGTGGGGGGGGGGGAGGGAGAGGAATAGTTCAGGCGATGGGGAGGAGACGAAGGAGACTTAAAGTGCCCAATAAGCTACCCCAAAGCACGCGGAGAAGGAACGAGTCGGCAAAGGAAATGATCCAATGCACCTCCTCCAGCATGTGAGAACCTCCTCCAACTAGTTACCACTGCATCTTCGCTCTTTGGTAACTAGCTGAGTCTGCTTGAAGCGAAGAGTTCCTCATGCACCAAAGTTCCCATTGCTGGTGAAGGAGTCTGGAAATGACTACCCCTGGGGGAGGGAGCCCCCCTCCTTCACCTCCAGGGGGGGGGTGGGGAGGGGCAGGTTGCATTGACGCCCCTCTGAATCCTTCAACTCGATCCAAGCCCTTCCTCGCTTCTTGGCCCTTCCTCGCTTCTAGACCCCAGCCGGCCTCAGCCCATGCCTACTGCATAGCCACTGCTCCGTGATCTGTGACCATGGGGTGACTTTTGAGTCGACTCAAAAGTCACCTCTGCTCCATAGCCACTGCACTGTGACCTGTGACCATGCGTGAGGAGTCTATTCTTGAGGCGCCTCAAAAATAGATGCCACACTTATCACAAAAGCTCGCAGCTCCAGTTACACTTACCCTGGAGGATATGATCTTATTCCACCTTATCCTCCGCTCAATTGCACAAGTGTAGCACTCACCCCTGCCCGGCTCTTATCCCCACCCTCTCCTTGTTCCATCTGTCTCACCTTACTCCAAATTTCCTCCAGCCTGCTACACGGTGATCAGCACGCTGCCCAACTTCTCACCCCCCCTTCCCCTCCTCTCTCCCCACCCTAGGGCCATCATCTCCCATGGTTGATTTTAGTTTTGAGGCGCCTCAAAACTACCCTCCTCTCTCCCCACCCTACGGCCATCATCTCCCATGGTTGGGCTCATCTCACCAGATTCCACTCCTCTTCAAGCCCGCATTGCATTGCTGCCCGCTGCAATGCTGCTTCACCGTGATCAGCATGCCGCCCAGCTCCTTCTTCGCCTTGTCTTGTACCCTTAGTCAACCAGCAACCAATGCTGCCATCCTTGGGTGTACCTCTCACCCACCTGCTTCCACTCCTCCTCAAGTCCGCTGCATCGCTGCTTCACTGTGATCAGCACCCTTCCAAGCTCTTGCTTCACCAAAGTGTCTAGCGCCCCACCCTCGCTGCTAACCCCACCACCCAACCCAAAGACCAGTCTCTCACCTGTCTCCACTCCTCCTCCAGTCCGCTGCTTCACGGTGACCAGCTCCTCCTTCCCCTTGCCTTGTACTCTTGGCCTTTTACCCCTACTACTACGACAACTTGGACTCACAAGCACCCCCTAGGCTAATCCTCTCACCTGGTTCCACTCCTCCTCCAGTCCGCTGCACCGCTGCTTCACAGTGATCAGTGCGCCGCCCAGCTCCTCCTTCGCCTTGCGCTGCAGCCACCCCTCCTCCGCCCTATCCCCACCCTGGACCTCACAGCTAACCTGGTTGGGCTCATCTCGCCTTATTCCACTCCTCTTCAAGCCCGCTGCACCGCTGCTTCACTGTGACCAGCACGCCTCTCAGCTCCTCCTTCCCCGTGACTTTTACCCCTACTACTACTATTACTTGGACTCACAAGCAACCCCTAGGCTAATCCTCTCACCTGGTTCCACTCCTCTTCAAGTCCGCTGCACCGCTGCTTCACGGTGATCAGTGCGCCGCCCAGCTCCTCCTTCACCTTGCGCTGCAGCCACCCCTCCTCCTCTTTGAAAGCGCCCAGATACGCCGAATAGCGCTTCAGAGCAGAGGTGAGGGCCGCCTTCATGTCCTCCGGGATCTTACCCACAGCCTGCATTCAAGAGGGGGGGGAGGGGGGGTGGGGGGGGGGCGGGGGGGGGGGGAAGAACATGTGTAATCAGCACACCCCCTCCTCCTCTTTGAGCGGCGCCAGGTACACCAAAGCACTTCAGAGCAGAGGAGAGGGCCGCCTTCATGTCCTCTGGGACCTTACCCACAGCTTGCGTGGGGGAGTTGGAAAGGCGGGGGGAGGGTGTGTTCAGAGGCCCCCCCTCCTCTGCAAACTAGCCCAGGTACGCTGAATAGCACTTCAGGGCAGAGGCGAGAGCCGCCTTCATGCCGTCCGGGATCTTACCCACCGACTGGGAGAGGGGGACAGGACCGGGGGGAGGAGGAGGAACGGGGAGTCCAGGTATACTGTATAGCGCTTGAGAGCAGCGGAGAGAGCCGCCCTCATGTCGTCCGGGATCTTACCCACCGCCTGCATTGAGCAGTGGAAGGGAGTTGGGAAGGAAAGGTGCATTCAGCAGCCACCCCTTCTCCTCCTCCTCTTTGAAAGCGTCCAGATACGCCGAACAGCGATTGAGAGCAGAGGCGAGAACCGCCTTCGTGTCGTCCGGGATCTTACCCACACAGCCGGCATTGCATGGGGGAGAAGCGGAAAGAACAGGGGGTGCATCTCCAACGACCCCCCTCCTCCTCTTTAAAAGAGTCAAGGTACGTGAAGAGCGCTTCAGGGCAGAAGCCAAAGCCGCCTTGATGTCCTCTGGGATCTTACCCACAGCCTGCAAGGGAGAGTTGGAGGGGGGGGGGGTGGGGGGAAGACAAAAGGTGTAATCAGCGCACCCCCCCTCCTCTTTGAAAGCGGCCAGGTACGCCGAATAGCGCTTCACGGCAGCAGTCAGAGCCACCTTGATGTCCTCCGGGATCTCACCCACAGCCTGCATCTCAAACACTAGAGAGCAGCATCTCGAACACTAGAGAGCAGCATCTCGAACGCTAGAGAGCAGCATCTCGAACGCTAGAGAGCAGCATCTCGAATGCTAGAGAGCAGCATCTCGAACACTAGAGAGCAGCATGTCGAACACTAGAGAGCAGCATGTCGAACACTAGAGAGCAGCATCTCGAACAATAGAGAGCAGCATCTCGAACACTAGAGAGCAGCATCTCGAACCCTAGAGAGCAGCATCTCGTGGGGGGGAAGCGGAAAGAACAAGGGGTTTATCTCGAGGAGGGGGAGAGGGGGAGAGGGGGGAGGGGGGAGGGGGGAGAGGAGGGCGGAAACGAAGGTGCTTCTCGAGCATTCTCCCTCCCCCTCTGTAAAGGCGTCCAGGTACACTGAATAGAGCTAATCTTCGCGATAAATAGCCTCATCTTCACTTATCCCCGCTATGAACAACCTCACCCTCGCTAACCCCCACAATCATCAGACACAGCTGTGAAAGCCCACTATGCTCGTCCAGACCAGACCAGACCAGACCAGACCAGACCAGTCCAAGTCCAGCTCCAACTTTACCTGCTATTCATGCACCATGCTCATTCCTAGGACAACCAGGCTTATGATCCCCGCTATAAGCAGACTCGTCTCGCCACCAAATTTGCACTGCACTCATCTAGCTCCAGCCTTTGCACCTCCAGATTTTCCCAAGAGGCCTCCACCATTGAAAAGCAGGGTCATCCCCGCTATAAGCCGACTCACCTCTCCGCCAAACTTGCCCCCAATGAGTTCGTCCAGGTCCAGCCTCAGCAGCTCCAGCTTCTCCCCAAACACCCTCCAGTCACAAGCAGACCCAATATCCCCGCTATAAGCCGACTCACCTCGCCTCCGAACTTGCCCCCACTGAGTTCGTCCAGGTCCAGCCTCAGCAGCTCCAGCTTCTCCCCAAACACCTCCACCGCCTCTGCTGCTGCTTTCAGGGATGTGAGAGCCTCCTTTGCCACCGCATCCCTGGTTGCAAAGAAAGAACGGTAGAGGCGGAGGGGCGGAAAAGCGCTGAGGTCCAACACCTAGTGTGGCTCCTCCAGCCCCAGCAGCTCTGCCTTTCCCCCACAGACTTCCACCGCCTCTGCTGCCGCCTTCAGGGATGTGAGAGCCTCCTTTGCCACCGCATCCCTGGTTGCAAAGAGACAGGAAAGTGCAAAGCCAGATTAGAACACCTTCCGGATCAGCAGCTCTGCCTTCTCCTCCCCAAACACCTCCACCGCATGTGCTGCTGCTTTCAGGGATGTCAGAGCCTCCTTTGCAACAGCATCCCTGGTAGCAAGCAAAACGGGAGAGGAGGAGGGACGGACGGGCGACAAATGCTGCTGGGCTGGGGTCAAGCACCTTCTGTAGCAGCAGCAGGCAGCAGCTCCAGCTTCTACCCAAGCAGCTCCACCGCCTCTGCTGCTGCTTTCAGGAATGACAACGCTTCACTGCTGCCTCTAGGAATGCCATTCCTAGAGGCGGATATTCCTGAGGAATCACTAGTGATTCATCGCCTCCTCCGCCTCTAGTGATGAATCACTAGCATCACTGGTTGCAAGCACAACGGGGACGGAGGAGGGACGGACGGACGACGAATGCTGGGCTGGGGTCGGGTCTAGCACCTTGTGTGGCAGCAGCTCCAGCTTCTCCTTTGGAGCTCAATCACTAATGGTGGCGGAGGGGAAAGAAAGGGGAAAGGAAGGAAGATTAACGCATGGAACGACTATGCGTGTGCGTGTGCGTGTGCGGCAAATGCTGGGCTAGGGTCTAGCACCTGCTGTAGCAGCAGCTCCAGCTTCTCCTTGGCAGCTGAATCACTGACGGAGGAGGGGAAGGGGGATTGGAGGAAGGAATCCATTCAAATCCCAGCTTCTCCCAGAAGGGGGGAAGGGGGGACAAGGAGGGGTGGGAGAAGGAGCGGAGAAGCCGTCGCGTCTGGGCGGTACGACTTGACCCAGTCTGGGGTGGATCGGGGAAGACAGGCGGGGAGGGGTGGGGGGGGGGAGTGGGGGTGGGGGAGAGGGGGTGGGGAGGGGGGGGTGGGGGGGGGAGGATGTGGTGGAAGAAGTAGAGGGTAAGCCAGGCATAGAGGATTATGGGGGAGGGCAATGCTAGACAAATCGCTTACACCTTCGTAAGCCAGCGCCTCAGAGTGGAAATAAAAAAATGTGTTGTGACATATGAGAGAAGGGTCGAATCCTTTCTTTTACTCTAGTAGAGGCACCCCAGGATTCATGTCGACTCAAAAGTCACACGGAACTTCCGCCACATTTACGAGGCTGTGTGAGAGAAGCGGCCTACCGTTGAAGTTTGGGCGGCCGCCGTGGCGGGGGAGAGAGTTGGCGCGGTTCGGTAGAAGCAGAAGAAGGCAGGCCACGACGACGACGAGGAGAAACGTAGCACAAGGATTCCGAAACTCTAGCCTCATGGCGACCGTTAAATGTAATAATTTTAGAGCTTTTAGAGCCTTCTCTTATGTCTGTAGAGTGCGGTCCCAATGCGTCGTGCGAGGCGCGCGGACTATAGTGCACTAACGACGAGAGGTACGCGAGGTGACGACGATTACAGTACGGGGAGTGAGGTTGGTGCAACTTACTAAGGCGAGGCCAGAGCAGGCAGATTCTCCTTTTGGCGTGATTCCGTTTCGAGTAAAACACGCACATTGTACACCAAGTTTTTCCGCTACACATTCGCCATATATATGGGGCAATAGGCATATAAACCACCATATATCGATATTTTAAGAAATTCTCAAATTACAGATGAAATGAGTCGTCAAACTACCTCCTCTGCGGTCCACCCAATACAAAAGGCAGCTCACACCACCAGGCCTTCCATCTTACAATCGTAGTGTGCTAGCTTCAGCTGCTACAGTGTGGTGTGGTGCCTCTTCAACAGAAAACATTGAAACACGAGCAGGTCTCCGCAATACTGGCTCAAGTTCCAGGCCCGTGTAGGAATCGGTGTCCACGTTGCTCAATGTACGATCCAGAGAGGCTCGATGTGCCCAGCAGACTAATCTGCAGCATGCGAAAAGGGTGGAGTAGGTGGGAGCGGGGGGGGGGGGGTGGGAGTGGGGGGTGGGGGGGTGGGGGGCAGAGGAATAGTTCAGGCGATGGGGAGGAAACGAAGGAGACTTAAAAGTGCCCAATAAGCTACCCCGAAGCACGTGGAGAAGGCACGAGTCGGCAAAGGAAATTATCCAAAGCACCTCCTCCAGCATGTGAGAACCTCCTCCAGCATGTGAGAACCTCCTCCAGCTGGTTACCATTGCATCTTCGCTCTTTGGTAACCAGCTGAGTCTGTTTGAAGCGAAGAGTTCCTCATGCACCAAAGTGCCCATTGCTGGTGAAGGAGTCTGGATGGAAGCGACTACTCCTGGGGGAGGGAGCCCCCCTTCCTTCACCTCCGGGGGGGGGGGTTTGGGGGGGGGGGGGGGGTTGCATTGACGCCCCTCAGAATCTGTCAACTCGATACAAGCCCTTCCTCGCTTCTATGCCCCGGCCGGCCTCAGCCAGTGCCTGCCGCATAGCCACTGCACTGTGACCTGTGACCATGCGTGAGGAGTCTATTCTTGAGGCGCCTCAAAAATAGATGCCACACTTATCATAAAGCTTGCTACGCCAGTCACACTTATCCTGGAGGATATGATCTTATTCCACCTTATCCTCCGCTCAATTGCAGGTGTATTTTGAATCGGTGATTTTTTAGTTGACTCAAAAATCAATTGCAGGTGTATTTTGAGTCGACTCAAAAAACAAATGCAGGTGTATTTTGAGTCGACTCAAAAATCAATTGCAGGTGTATTTTGAGTCGACTCAAAATACACCTGATCTTATTCCACCTTATCCTCCGCTCAATTGCGCAAGTGTAGCACTCACGCCTGCCCGGCCCTTATCCCCACCCTCTCCTTGTTCCATCCGTCTCACCTTACTCCAAATTTCCTCCAGCCTGCTACACGGTGATAAGCACGCCGCCCATCTTCTCACCCCCCCTTCCCCCCTCCTCTCTCCCCACCCTAGGGCCATCATCTCCCATGGTTGATTTTAGTTTTGAGGCGCCTCAAAACTACCCTCCTCTCTCCCCACCCTAGGGCCATCATCTCCCATGGTTGGCCTCATCTCACCAGATTCCACTCCTCTTCAAGCCCGCATTGCACTGCTCCTTTGAGGCGCCTCAAAACATGGTGGGCTCATCTCACCTAATGAATTCCACTCCTCTTCAAGCCCCCATTGCACTGCTGCTTTGAGGCGCCTCGAAACATGGTGGGCTCATCTCACCTAATTAATTCCACTCCTCTTCAAGCCCGCATTGCACGCTGCTTTGAGGCGCCTCGAAACATGGTGGGCTCATCTCACCTAATTAATTCCACTCCTCTTCAAACCCGCATTGCACTGCTGCCCGCATTGCATTGCTGCCCGCTGCATTGCTGCTTCACGATGATCAGCACCCCGCCCAGCTCCTTCTTCCCCTTGCCTTGTACCCTTGGGCTATCATCCTTGGATGCCTCTCCCCTTTTCTCCCACCTGGTTCCACTCCTCCTCCAGTCCGCTGCACCGCGCTGCTTCACGGTGATCCGTGCGCCGCCCAGCTCCTCCTTCGCCTTGCGCTGCAGCCACCCCTCCTCCGCCCTATCCCCACCCTGGAACTCACAGCTAACCTGGTTGGGCTCATCTCGCCTTATTTCACTCCTCTTCAAGTGCGCTACACCGCTGCTTCACTATGACCAGCACGCCTCTCAGCTCCTCCTTCCCCGTGACTTTTACCCCTACTACTACTACAACGGACTCACAAGCACCCCCTAGGCTAATCCTCTCACCTGGTTCCACTCCTCTTCAAGTCCGCACCGCTGCTTCACAGTGATCAGTGCGCCGCCCAGCTCCTCCTTCACCTTGCGCTGCAGCCACCCCTCCTCCTCTTTGAAAGCCCCCAGATACGCCGAATAGCGCTTCAGAGCAGAGGTGAGGGCCGCCTTCATATTCTCCGGGATCTTACCCATAGCCTGCATTCAAGAGGGGGGGGAGGGGGGGTGGGGGAAGGGGGGGGGGGGGGGGAAGAACATGTGTAATCAGCATACCCTCTCCTCCTCTTTGAGCGGTGCCAGGTACGCCAAAGCGCTTCAGAGCAGAGGAGAGGGCCGCCTTCATGTCCTCCGGGATCTTACCCACAGCTTGCGTGGGGGAGTTGGAAAGGCGGGGGGAGGGGGAGAAAAGGTGTGTTCAGAGGCCCCCCTTCCTCTGCGAACTAGTCCAGGTACGCCAAATAGCACTTCAGGGCAGAGGTGAGAGCCGCCTTCATGTCGTCCGGGATCTTACCCACCGACTGGGAGAGGGGGACAGGACCGGGGGGGAAGAGGAGGAACGGGGAGTCCAGGTATACTGTATAGCACTTGAGAGCAGCGGAGAGAGCCGCCCTCATGTCGTCCGGGATCTTACCCACCGCCTGCATTGAGCAGTGGAAGGGAGTTGGGAAGGAAAGGTGCATTCAGCAGCCACCCCTTCTCCTCCTCCTCTTTAAAACAGCGCTTGAGAGCAGAGGCGAGAACCGCCTTCGTGTCGTCCGGGATCTTACCCACACAGCCGGCATTGCATGGGGGGAGAAGCGGAAAGAACAGGGGGTGCATCTCCAACGACCCCCCTCCTCCTCTTTAAAAGAGTCAAGGTACCTGAAGAGCGCTTCAGAGCAGAAGCCAGAGCCGCCTTGATGTCCTCCGGGATCTTACCCACAGCCTGCAGGGGGGAGTTGGAGGGGGGGGGTGGGGGGAAAACAAAAGGTGTAATCAGCGCACCCCCCCTCCTCTTTGAAAGCGTCCAGGTACGCCGAATAGCGCTTCACGGCAGCGGTCAGAGCCACCTTGATGTCCTCCGGGATCTCACCCACAGCCTGCATCTCAAACACTAGAGAGCAGCATCTCGAACACTAGAGAGCAGCATCTCGAACACTAGAGAGCAGCATCTCGAACACTAGAGAGCAGCATCTCGAACACTAGAGAGCAGCATCTCGAACACTAGAGAGCAGCATCTCGAACACTAGAGAGCAGCATCTCGACACTAGAGAGCAGCATCTCGAACACTAGAGAGCAGCATCTCGAACACTAGAGAGCACCATCTCGTGGGGGGGAAGCGGAAAGAACAAGGGGTTTATCTCGAGGAGGGGAGAGGGGGAGAGGGGGGAGGGGGGAGGGGGGAGAGGAGGGCGGAAACGAAGGTGCTTCTTGAGCTTTCTCCCTCCCCCTCTGTAAAGGCGTCCAGGTACATTGAATAGAGCAAATCTTCGCGATAAATAGCCTCATCTTCACTTATCCCCGCTATGAGCAACCTCACCCTCGCTAACCCCCACAATCATCAGACACAGCTGTGAAAGCCCACTATGCTCGTCCAGACCAGACCAGACCAGTCCAAGTCCAGCTCCAGCTTTACCTGCTAGTCATACACCATCCTCATTCCTAGGACAACCAGGCTTATGATCCCCGCTATAAGCAGACTCGTCTCGCCACCAAATTTGCACTGCACTCATCCAGCTCCAGCCTTAGCACCTCCAGATTTTCCCAAGAGGCCTCCACCATTGAAAAGCAGGGTCATCCCCGCTATAAGCGGACTCACCTCTCCGCCAAACTTGCCCCAATGAGTTCGTCCAGGTCCAGCCTCAGCAGCTCCAGCTTCTCCCCAAACACCCTCCGGTCACAAGCAGACCCAACATCCCCGCTATTAGCCAACTCACCTCGCCTCCGAACTTGCCCCCACTGAGTTCGTCCAGGTCCAGCTTCAGCAGCTCCAGCTTCTCCCGAAACACCTCCACTGCCTCTGCTGCTGCTTTCAGGGATGTGAGAGCCTCCTTTGCCACCGCATCCCTGGTTGCAAAAAAAGAACGGTAGAGGCGGAGGGGCGGAAAAGCGCTGAGGTCCAACACCTAGTGTGGCTCCTCCAGCCCCAGCAGCTCTGCCTTTCCCCCACAGACTTCCACCGCCTCTGCTGCCGCCTTCAGGGATGTGAGAGCCTCCTTTGCTACCGCATCCCTGGTTGCAAAGAGACAGAAAAGTGCAAAGCCAGATTAGAACACCTTCCGGATCAGCAGCTCTGCCTTCTCCTCCCCAAACACCTCCACCGCCTGTGCTGCTGCTTTCAGGGATGTCAGAGCCTCCTTTGCAACAGCATCCCTGGTAGCAAGCAAAACGGGAGAGGAGGAGGGACGGACGGGCGACAAATGCTGCTGGGCTGGGGTCAAGCACCTTCTGTAGCAGCAGCAGGCAGCAGCTCCAGCTTCTACCCAAGCACCTCCACCGCCTCTGCTGCTGCTTTCAGGAATGACAACGCTTCACTGCTGCCTCTAGGAATGCCATTCCTAGAGGCGGATATTCCTGAGGAATCACTAGTAGCATCACTGGTTGCAAGCACAACGGGGACGGAGGAGGGACGGACGGACGACGAATGCTGGGCTGGGGTCGGGTCTAGCACCTTGTGTGGCAGCAGCTCCAGCTTCTCCTTTGGAGCTCAATCACTGATGGTGGCGGAGGGGAAAGAAAGGGGAAAGGAAGGAAGAGTAACGCATGGAACGACTATGCGTGTGCGTGTGCGTGTGCGGCAAATGCTGGGCTGGGGTCTAGCACCTGCTGTAGCAGCAGCTCCAGCTTCTCCTTGGCAGCTGAATCACTGACGGAGGAGGGGAAGGGGGATTGGAGGAAGGAATCCGTTCAAATCCCAGCTTCTCCCAGAAGGGGGGAAGGGGGGACAAGGAGGGGTGGGAGAAGGAGCGGAGAAGCTGCCGCGTCTGGGCAGTATGACTTGACCCAGTCTGGGGCGGAACGGGGAAGACAGGCGGGGAGGGGTGGGGGGGGGAGTGGGGGGTGGGGAGAGGGGGGTGGGGGAGGGGGGGGTGGGGGGGGAGGATGTGGTGGAAGAAGTAGAGGGTAAGCCAGGCATAGAGGATTATGGGGGAGGGCAATGCTAGACAAATCGCTTACACTTTCGTAAGCCAGCGCCTCAGAGTGGAAATAAAAAAAATGTGTTGTGACATACGAGAGAAGGGTCGAATCATTTCTTTTACTCTAGTAGAGGCACCCCAGAATTCATGTCGACTCAAAAGTCACACGGAACTTCCGCCACATTTACGAGGCTGTGTGAGAGAAGCGGCCTACCGTTGAAGTTTGGGCGGCCGCCGTGGCGGGGGAGAGAGTTGGCGCGGTTCGGTAGAAGCAGAAGAAGGCAGGCCACGACGACGACGAGGAGAAACGTAGCACAAGGATTCCGAAACTCTAGCCTCATGGCGACCATTAAATGTAATAATTTTAGAGCTGAGAGCTTTTAGAGCCTTCTCTTATGTCTGTAGAGTGTGGTCCCAATGCGTCGTGCGAGGCGCGCGGACTATAGTGCACTAACGACGAGAGGTACCGTATTCTCCCGGATTCAGGTTCCGCCGGCATTAAGCTCCCACGGGTGGCTTGAGCGGGTATGGGTGTTTAATTAAACTGGATCTAGTTACCACCCTACTTCTGGGCTTGAAAACAATTGAACACCCCCCGCCACTTAGAATCCTTATTTCGACAGGGAACAACAGAAATTTCTGTGCGAAGTTGCGTCCGTAAACGTCAAGGCGAGTGGGGGAAATTGGTTGGTGATTAACCCAAATGTGTCAGAACGGAAAAAAAAATGTTGAAACCACGAAATCCAAATTGTTCATTCTTGACTCTCGCGCCCTCCCGCCAAAACAAACCTCCGCTGCCGCCCACTGATTGGAGGCAGTAAGGACGAGGCCTGCAGCATTTGTTGATTGGCTGCTTTGCTAGCCTCGCCTTTGACTCTACTACGTAGTTTAGCTGACGATGTGACAAGCAGAAGGGCCACCAGTAGGGTACGCGATGAGGACACGAGATGTTGATGTGACACAAAATAAAGAGATGTAACATGCACAATTATTTTGGAATTGAAAAACGCATATGCATGTTCCATAGAACTATGGTCTTATATATTTTTTGCCTTTAATTCCACCCACCCCAAAATTTTCATGACTTTTTATTAGCTCCCTAGGGTACTATATCCGGGAGAATACGGTACGCGAGGCGACGACGATTACAGTACGGGGAGTGAGGTTAGTGCTGTTAAAGTAGCTCTAGGCTAGGATGCTAGGCAGGAACAAGGCCGCCATGAATGTGGCGGCGGGGTTTAGCTAGGAGCTGGACGAGAGTGTCGAGAGAAAAGAGGGTTGGATTAGGAAGAGAAAGGAGTACAAGGAGGGGTTTCTACCCTCTACAGAAAGGTTCAGTAACAACCTACCAAGCCTATATTAAATTATAACTTATATAATTCGAACAAGTGCAACTTAGTAAGGCGAGACCAGAGCAGGCAGATTCTCCTTTTGGCGTGATTCCGTTTCGAGTAAAACACGCACATTGTACACCAAGTTTTTCCGCTACACATTCGCCATATATATGGGACAATAGGCATATAAACCACCATATATCGATATTTAAAGAAATTCTCAAATTACATATGAAATGGGTCGTCAAACTACCTCCTCTGCGGTCAACCCAATACAAAAGGTAGCTCACACCACCAGGCCTTCCATCTTACAATCGTAGTGCGCTAGCTTCAACTGCTACAGTGTGGTGTGGTGCCTCTTCAACAGAAAACATTGAAACACGAGCAGGTCTCCGCAATACTGGCTCAAGTTCCAGGCCCGTGTAGGAATCAGTGTCCTCGTTGCTCAATGTACGATCCAGAGAGGCCCGATGTGCCCAGCAGACTAATCTGCAGCATGCGGAAAGGGTGGAGTAGGTGGGAGCAGAGAGGGAGGGGGGGGGGGGTGGGGGGGGGGGGGGGAGAGGAATAGTTCAGGCGATGGAGAGGAAACGAAGGAGACTTAAAAGTGCCCAATAAGCTACCCCGAAGCACGCGGAGAAGGCACGAGTCGTCAAAGGAAATTATCCAAAGCACCTCCTCCAGCATGTGAGAACCTCCTCCAGCATGTGAGAACCTCTTCCAGCATGTGAAAACCTCCTCCAGCATGTGAGGCGCCTCAAAAATAGATGCCACACTTATCACAAAGCTCGCTACGCCAGTCACACTTACGCTGGAGGATATGATCTTATTCCACCTAATCCTCCGCTCAATTGCAGGTGTATTTTGAGTCGGTGATTTTTGAGTCGACTCAAAAATCAATTGCAGGTGTATTTTGAGTCGACTCAAAAAACAAATGCAGGTGTATTTTGAGTCGACTCAAAAATCAATTGCAGGTGTATTTTGAGTCGACTCAAAATACACCTGATCTTATTCCACCTTATCCTCCGCTCAATTGCGCAAGTGTAGCACTCACGCCTACCCGGCCCTTATCCCCACCCTCTCCTTGTTCCATCCGTCTCACCTTACTCCAAATTTCCTCCAGCCTGCTACACGGTGATCAGCACGCCGCCCATCTTCTCACCCCCCCTTCCCCCCTCCTCTCTCCCCACCCTAGGGCCATCATCTCCCATGGTTGGCCTCATCTCACCAGATTCCACTCCTCTTCAAGCCCGCATTGCATTGCTGCTTTGAGGCGCCTCGAAACATGGTGGGCTCATCTCACCTAATTAATTCCACTCCTCTTCAAGCCCCCATTGCACTGCTGCTTTGAGGCGCCTCGAAACATGGTGGGCTCATCTCACCTAATTAATTTCACTCCTCTTCAAGTCCGCATTGCACTGCTGCCCGCATTGCATTGCTGCCCGCTGCATTGCTACTTCACGATGATCAGCACCCCGCCCAGCTCCTTCCCCTTGCCTTGTACCCTTGGGCTATCATCCTTGGATGCCTCTCCCCTTTTCTCCCACCTGGTTCCACTCCTCCTCCAGTCCGCTGCACCGCGCTGCTTCACGGTGATCCGTGCGCCGCCCAGCTCCTCCTTCGCCTTGCGCTGCAGCCACCCCTCCTCCGCCCTATCCCCACCCTGGAACTCACAGCTAACCTGGTTGGGCTCATCTCGCCTTATTCCACTCCTCTTCAAGTGCGCTACACCGCTGCTTCACTATGACCAGCACGCCTCTCAGCTCCTCCTTCCCCGTGACTTTTACCCCTACTACTACTACAACGGACTCACAAGCACCCCCTAGGCTAATCCTCTCACCTGGTTCCACTCCTCTTCAAGCCCCCATTGCACTGCTGCTTTGAGGCGCCTCGAAACATGGTGGGCTCATCTCACCTAATTAATTTCACTCCTCTTCAAGTCCGCATTGCACTGCTGCCCGCATTGCATTGCTGCCCGCTGCATTGCTACTTCACGATGATCAGCACCCCGCCCAGCTCCTTCCCCTTGCCTTGTACCCTTGGGCTATCATCCTTGGATGCCTCTCCCCTTTTCTCCCACCTGGTTCCACTCCTCCTCCAGTCCGCTGCACCGCGCTGCTTCACGGTGATCCGTGCGCCGCCCAGCTCCTCCTTCGCCTTGCGCTGCAGCCACCCCTCCTCCGCCCTATCCCCACCCTGGAACTCACAGCTAACCTGGTTGGGCTCATCTCGCCTTATTCCACTCCTCTTCAAGTGCGCTACACCGCTGCTTCACTATGACCAGCACGCCTCTCAGCTCCTCCTTCCCCGTGACTTTTACCCCTACTACTACTACAACGGACTCACAAGCACCCCCTAGGCTAATCCTCTCACCTGGTTCCACTCCTCTTCAAGCCCCCATTGCACTGCTGCTTTGAGGCGCCTCGAAACATGGTGGGCTCATCTCACCTAATTAATTTCACTCCTCTTCAAGTCCGCATTGCACTGCTGCCCGCATTGCATTGCTGCCCGCTGCATTGCTACTTCACGATGATCAGCACCCCGCCCAGCTCCTTCCCCTTGCCTTGTACCCTTGGGCTATCATCCTTGGATGCCTCTCCCCTTTTCTCCCACCTGGTTCCACTCCTCCTCCAGTCCGCTGCACCGCGCTGCTTCACGGTGATCCGTGCGCCGCCCAGCTCCTCCTTCGCCTTGCGCTGCAGCCACCCCTCCTCCGCCCTATCCCCACCCTGGAACTCACAGCTAACCTGGTTGGGCTCATCTCGCCTTATTCCACTCCTCTTCAAGTGCGCTACACCGCTGCTTCACTATGACCAGCACGCCTCTCAGCTCCTCCTTCCCCGTGACTTTTACCCCTACTACTACTACAACGGACTCACAAGCACCCCCTAGGCTAATCCTCTCACCTGGTTCCACTCCTCTTCAAGCCCCCATTGCACTGCTGCTTTGAGGCGCCTCGAAACATGGTGGGCTCATCTCACCTAATTAATTTCACTCCTCTTCAAGTCCGCATTGCACTGCTGCCCGCATTGCATTGCTGCCCGCTGCATTGCTACTTCACGATGATCAGCACCCCGCCCAGCTCCTTCCCCTTGCCTTGTACCCTTGGGCTATCATCCTTGGATGCCTCTCCCCTTTTCTCCCACCTGGTTCCACTCCTCCTCCAGTCCGCTGCACCGCGCTGCTTCACGGTGATCCGTGCGCCGCCCAGCTCCTCCTTCGCCTTGCGCTGCAGCCACCCCTCCTCCGCCCTATCCCCGCCCTGGAACTCACAGCTCACCTGGTTGGGCTCATCTCGCCTTATTCCACTCCTCTTCAAGTGCGCTACACCGCTGCTTCACTGTGATTAACACGCCTCTCAGCTCCTCCTTCCCCGTGACCTTTACCCCTACTACTACTACAACGGACTCACAAGCACCCCCTAGGCTAATCCTCTCACCTGGTTCCACTCCTCTTCAAGTCCGCTGCACCGCTGCTTCACGGTGATCAGTGCGCCGCCCAGCTCCTCCTTCACCTTGCGCTGCAGCCACCCCTCCTCCTCTTTGAAAGCGCCCAGATACGCCGAATAGCGCTTCAGAGCAGAGGTGAGGGCCGCCTTCATGTCCTCCGGGATCTTACCCACAGCCTGCATTCAAGAGGGGAGGGAGGGGGTGTGGGGGGTGGGGGGGGGGGGAGAACATGTGTTATCAGCACACCCCCTCCTCCTCTTTGAACGGCGCCAGGTACGCCAAAGCGCTTCAGAGCACAGGAGAGGGCCGCCTTCATGTCGTCCGGGATCTTACCCACAGCCTACGGGGGGGAGTTGGAAAGGCGGGGGGAGGGGGAGAAAGGGTGTGTTCAGAGGCCCCTCCTCCTCTGCGAACTAGTCCAGGTACGCCGAATAGCGCTTCAGGGCAGAGGCGAGAGCCACCTTCATGTCGTCCGGGATCTTACCCACCGACTGGGATAGGGGGACAGGACCGGGGGGGAGGAGGAGGAACGGGGAGTCCAGGTGCACTATATAGCACTTGAAGCAGCGGAGAGAGCCGCCTCATGTCGTCCGGGATCTTACCCACCGCCTGCATTGCATGGGAGGGGAAGCGGAAAGCACAGCGGAAAGAACAGCGGAAAGAACAGCGGAAAGAACAGCGGTGGATCTCAATTAACCCCCCTCCTCCTCTTTAAAAGCGACAAGGTACGTGAAGAGCGCTTCAGGGCAGAAGCCAGAGCCGCCTTGATGTCTGGGAAAGATCCGGGATCTCACCTACAGCCTGCAGGGGGGAGTTGGAGGGGGGGGGGGGGCGGGGGGGGGGGAAGGGAGGGGGGAGAGAAAAGGTGTAATCAGCGCACCCCCCCTCCTCTTTGAAAGCGCCCAGGTACGCCGAATAGCGCTTCAGGGCGCTTCATGTCAAACACTAGGGAGCAGCATCTCGTGGGGGGGAAGCGGAAAGAACAAGGGGTGTATTTGGAGGAGGGGGAGAGGGGAGAGGGGGGAGGGGGGCGAGGAGGGGGGATGAACAGGGAGTGTTTTCAAATCACCCCCCCTCCTCCGCAAACGCGGGACTTACCCCCAGCCTGCATTCAGTGGGGGAGGGCGGAAACGAAGGTGCTTCTCGAGCATTCCCCCTCCCCCTCTGTAAAGGCGTCCAGGTACACTGAATAGAGCTTATCTTTGCGATAAATAGCCTCACCTTCACTCATCACGGCTATAAGCAGCCTCACCTTCACTTATCCCCGCTATAAGCAACCTCACCCTCGCTAACCCCCACAATCATCAGACACAGCTGTGAAAGCCCACTATGCAAGTCAAGTCAAGTCAAGTCAAGACCAGTCGAGTCAAGTCGAGTCAAGTCAAGTCAAGTCAAGTCAAGTCAAGTCAAGTCAAGTCAAGTCAAGTCAAGTCAAGACAAGACAAGACAAGACAAGACAAGACCAAGACCAGACCAGACCAGACCAGACCAGACCAGACCAGACCAGACCAGACCAGACCAGACCAGACCAGACCAGACCAGACCAGACCAGACCAGACCAGACCAGACCAGACCAGACCAGACCAGACCAGACCAGACCAGACCAGACCAGACCAGACCAGACCAGACCAGACCAGACCAGACCAGACCAGACCAGACCAGACCAGACCAGACCAGACCAGACCAGACCAGACCAGACCAGACCAGACCAGACCAGACCAGACCAGACCAGACCAGACCAGACCAGACCAGACCAGACCAGACCAGACCAGACCAGACCAGACCAGACCAGACCAGACCAGACCAGACCAGACCAGACCAGACCAGACCAGACCAGACCAGACCCAGACCAGACCAGACCAGACCAGACCAGACCAGACCAGACCAGACCAGACCAGACCAGACCAGACCAGACCAGACCAGACCAGACCAGACCAGACCCAGACCAGACCAGACCAGACCAGACCAGACCAGACCAGACCAGACCAGACCAGACCAGACCAGACCAGACCAGACCAGACCAGACCAGACCAGACCAGACCAGACCAGACCAGACCAGACCAGACCAGACCAGACCAGACCAGACCAGACCAGACCAGACCAGACCAGACCAGACCAGACCAGACCAGACCAGACCAGACCAGACCAGACCAGACCAGACCAGACCAGACCAGACCAGACCAGACCAGACCAGACCAGACCAGACCAGACCAGACCAGACCAGACCAGACCAGACCAGACCAGACCAGACAAGACCAGACAAGACCAGACCAGACCAGACCAGACCAGACCAGACCAGACCAGACCAGACCAGACCAGACCAGACCAGACCAGACCAGACCAGACCAGACCAGACCAGACCAGACCAGACCAGACCAGACCAGACCAGACCAGACCAGACCAGACCAGACCAGACCAGACCAGACCAGACCAGACCAGACCAGACCAGACCAGACCAGCTCAGCTCCAACTTTACCTGCTAGTCAAACACCACGCTCATTCCTAGGACAAACAGGCTAATGATCGCCGCTATAAGCAGACTCGTCTCGCCACCAAATTTGCACTGCACTCATCCAGCTCCAACCTTAGCACCTCCAGATCTGCTTTTGAGTCGACTCAAAAGCAGTCGTCTCGCCAACAAATTTGCACTGCATTCATCCAGCTCCAGCCTTAGCACCTCCAGATCCGCTTTTGAGTCGACTCAAAAGCAGTCGTCTCGCCACCAAATTTGCACTGCACTCATCCAGCTCCAGCCTTAGCACCTCCAGATCCGCTTTTGAGTCGACTCAAAAGCAGTCGTCTCGCCACCAAATTTGCACTGCACTCATCCAGCTCCAGCCTTAGCACCTCCAGACTTTCCCAAGAGGCCTCCACCATTGAAAAGCAGAGTCATCCCCGCTATAAGCCGACTCACCTCTCCGCCAAACTTGCCCCCAATGAGTTCGTCCAGGTCCAGCCTCAGCAGCTCCAGCTTCTCCCCAAACACCCTCCAGTCACAAGCAGACCCAATATCCCCGCTATAAGCCGACTCACCTCGCCTCCGAACTTGCCCCCACTGAGTTCGTCCAGGTCCAGCCTCAGCAGCTCCAGCTTCTCCCCAAACACCTCCACCGCCTCTGCTGCCGCCTTCAGGGATGTGAGAGCCTCCTTCGCCACCGCATCCCTGGTTGCAAAAAAAGAACAGTAGAGGCGGAGGGACAGAGAAGTGCTGAGGTCAAACACCTAGTGTGGCTCCTCCAGCCCCAGCAGCTCTGCCTTTCCCCCACAGACTTCCACCGCCTCTGCTGCCGCCTTCAGGGATGTGAGAGCCTCCTTTGCCACCGCATCCCTGGTTGCAAAGAGACAGGAAAGTGCAAAGCCAGATTAGAACACCTTCCGGAGCAGCAGCTCTGCCTTCTCCTCCCCAAACACCTCCACCGCCTCTGCTGCTGCTTTCAGGGACGTCAAAGCCTCCTTTTGCAACAGCATCCCTGGTAGCAAGCAAAACGGGAGAGGAGCAGGTACGGACGGACGACAAATGCTGCTGGGCTGGGGTCAAGCACCTTCTGTGGCAGCAGCAGCAGGCAGCAGCTCCAGCTTCTACCCAAACACCTCCACCGCCTCTGCTGCTGCTTTCAGGAATGACAACGCTTCACTGCTGCCTCTAGGAATGTCATTCCTAGAAGCGGATATTCCTGAGGAATCACCAGTGATTCATCGCCTCCTCCGCCGCTAGTGATGAACCACTAGCTTCACTCGGGTCGGGTCTAGCACCTTCTGTGGCAGCAGAACGGGGTTGCAAGCACAACGGGGAAGGAGGAGGGACGGACGACGAGTTCAGTTTTGAGGCGCCTCAAAACTAGCTTCACTGGTTGCAGGCACAACGGGGAAGGAGGAGGGACGGACGACGAATGCTGGGCTGGGGTCGGGTCTAGCACCTTGTGTGGCAGCAGCTCCAGCTTCTCCTTTGGGGCTCAGTCACTGATGGTGGAGGGGAAGGGGGATTGGAACCAGTTCAAATTCCAGCTTCTCCCAAGATCCTCCACCGCCTCTGCTGCTGCGGTCAGGGACGGCAGTTCGTGTGCGTCCTCTGCAACGGAGTCACTGCAACGGAGTTACGGAGTCACTGATGTTTTGAGGCATCTCAAAACGAGTTTATACTAACACCCAGACTGATGGCTGAAGGTTCTGCTGCTGCTTTCAGACACGTGGTAGCTTCACGAGAGTCCGTCCGTTACAACGGAGTCACTGATGGGACGGTAAAAGGAAGGGGAAAGCAAGGGGAAAGGAAGGAAGAGGATGGAACGATAAATTTTCTCTAAACAATAAGTGTTTTACAAGCCCGCTGCCACGTATGGCTAAAACCACCACCAAGTGGTGTTCTTTCTAAAGGAAGGGGAAAGGAAGGAAGAGAAAAGAATGGAAGAGGAAAGGAAGGAAGAGGATGGAAGGAAAGCCTCCCCTCAGCTCGGCTTCAGCTGCAGCCTCTCGCCATACACATTAACCGTCTCTGCTGAGGCCTGCAGGGCCGATACTGCGTCCTCCGAAAAGGAATCTCCAGTTCAAGATTCCTTTTGAGGCGCCTCGAAAGGCGCCTCAAACGCAGAAACGGCGAGACTAGTTTTGAGGCGCCTCAAAACTAGACTCCTCCGAAAAGGAATCTCCAGTTCAAGATTCCTTTTCAGGCGCCTCGAAAGCAGAAACGGCGAGAGGCTGCAGCCTCTCGCCATACACGTTAACCGTTTCTGCTGAGACCTGAAGGGCCGAGCTGAGCTGAGGGAGGCCGTTACCGCCTCCTCTGCAAAGGAATCTCTAGTTGGAGACACCTGGCGACCGAATAGCTGGGTTGGAGAAGCTATTTCTGAGGCGCCTAAAAAATAGACAAGCTGGGTTGGAGAACTGAATGTCTTACTCCGTGCTTGCGATCGTCTTGTCGATCTTGGAGATTAGGGACGAGTCGCGCGGAACCCAGCCCGTCGCCAGGCCCTTTGGTTTAAGGAATTTCCGAAGCTTACTCTGTGCTTGCAATGGTCTTGTCGATCTTGGAGATTAGAGACGAGTCGCACGGAATCCAGCCCGTCGCCAGGGCCTCCTTGAGAGTATTGAGGGCGTTGGGATCGCTGACACGTGGTAGCTTCACGAGATCCGCCGTGGCAGTGATGGCGAATCCGCGGCGCTGGAAAGATGCAGCTGGTGAGGAGAGGAGGGGGGAGGGGAGGAGAGAGCAGAGGAGAAGAGAGGAGGCTCAACAAAAGGGGTGAGTTGGCCCGTAGGCAAGAGAAAGCGAGTACAACGAAAGGATGCGGCCCTTAGGCCTACAACGCGAGAGATCTTCCGCGAAATCTTTCGCGAAATCTTCCGCGCGGGATGGTGCGCCGCGCTTCTGCTGAAAGACGTTTCTTCGAGTCTCCTGCAACTCGACAAATGGACAAACGGCTACAACGAAAGGCCTACAACGAAAGGCCTACAACGTTTTCATTGCAACTCGATATAAGATCCTCGCGTTACTGGCTTTGTGAATCTAGCGATACCTGACACCTGCGAATCAGCTAGTGCGCGCGCGGAGAGAGATGCGGACGGCACGGCGGGGGAGGCGGAAGCGGGGGGCGATGACGTGACGTATTGCGCGGAAGGTTGCGCTTGCAGCAGCGCGGGTGCTGCTTGGCGGAAGGCGGGAACGCACGCGGAGGCGCGGAGGATATCGGCGGAGCGGCGGATGACTTGTCTGGTGGAAGCCATTATGTGTTGCGGATGTTGGTATGTGGTGGGGGTGGTTGGTAAGTAGCGGAATGACGAGAGAAGGCGGAACGGCAGAAGGCGGAACGACGGAAGGCGGAGCACAGCGGCCAGGAATGCCTGACGGAAGGGAATACGTGAAGGGTGGCGGGGAGAGGAAGCGGTGGCAGCAACCAGGAGGTAAGGCACGGACTGATGAGAAGCTTAGAATATCCTCCTACTAGGTATCTTTCGAGTGCAGGGAGTGGCGGAGGAGCAACGCGGAAAGCGGGAAGGCGGAACGCGGGGAGGCGGAAAACGGGGAAGCGGAAAGTGGCGACGCGGAAAGCGGGTTAGCGGAAGGGGGGCAGCGCGGAAATTTCATGGTGCGGCCTGTGCTGGAGGGAGAAGGGCAATGGAGCCTGATGATTGGTTGGATGGTTTGTCAAAGAAAGACGTGGCAAAGAGGCCATACGGGATATTCAAACTGGGTACAAGGAGCAATACTGAAACAGTGTACACTAAACATGGATAAGGTTTACAGAAGCTAGACTCCATTCATTAATTTTCAATGGACATATTGGACTTGGATAGTACAAAGAAGTAGCACAGCAGTACACGAGTGCTACAGCCATTCGCAATGTACATAATGACATCCCTCCTTCCACCTCAATCTGTTCAAAGTATTCAATCCACCTCCTCAATCTTTGGCTCTGCACTTGATCCCCCACTCTTTCCCCTAGCAGCAGAACCACAGCCACCGCCCTGAGCCCCACAGCAACCATCCCCTGCACCAGCCTGGTACATCCTCGACATGATAGGCGAACACACTCCCTCCAGCTCCTTCCGCTTCTCCTGAAACTCCTCCACTTCCCCCAGCTGATTCTTCTCCAGCCAATCCACAGTCTCCTGCACAGCTCTCTCAATCTTCTGTTTATCCTCCCCGTTCAGCTTCCCACCCACCTTGTCATCCCTCACTGTGTTCCTCACATGGTAGGCATAATTCTCCAGCTCATTCTTAGCCTCTACCCTCTTCTTCACCTGCTCATCCTCCTCCCTGAATTTCTCAGCCTCCTTCACCAGCCGGTCAATCTCTGCCTGGCTGAGCCTCCCCTTGTCATTCGTAATCGTGATCCTGCTGCTCTTCCCAGTCGCCTTCTCCTCTGCACTCACGTTCAGGATCCCATTCGCATCTATATCGAACGTGACTGTAATCTGTGGGACTCCGCGAGGGGCAGGAGGGATTCCTGCCAGCTCGAATTTCCCCAGCAGGTTGTTGTCTCGAGTCCGGGCCCTCTCCCCCTCATACACCTGGATCAGAACCCCCGGCTGGTTGTCTGAAAACGTGGAGAAAATCTCCTGCTTCTTGGTGGGAATCGTGGTGTTGCGGGGAATCAGCGTGGTCATCACTCCCCCTGCAGTCTCCAGCCCAAGCGAGAGCGGAGCCACGTCCAGCAGCAGCAGATCCTGCACCTTGGCACTCCCCTCCCCAGTCAGAATCGCGGCCTGAACAGCAGCGCCGTACGCCACTGCTTCGTCCGGGTTGATGCTCTTGCAGAGCTCCCGGCCGTTGAAGAACTCCTGCAGCAGCTGCTGCACCTTGGGAATGCGGGTAGACCCCCCCACCAGCACCACGTCATGGATCTGCCCCTTGTCCATCTTGGCATCCCTCAGGCACTTTTCCACCGGCTCCATGCACTTCCGGAACAGGTCCATGTTGAGCTCCTCGAAGCGAGCGCGTGTGAGTGTAGAATAAAAATCGACTCCTTCGTATAACGAGTCGATCTCTATCGTTGTTTGTGCCGTGGCTGAGAGCGTCCGCTTGGCTCGCTCGCACGCTGTCCTGAGCCGCCGGAGAGCCCGGGGGTTGCCACTGGGGTCCGTCCGGTGCTTCCTCTTGAATTCCTGGACGAAGTGGTTCACCAGGCGGTTGTCGAAGTCCTCTCCCCCCAGATGCGTGTCTCCTGCCGTCGCCTTCACCTCGAAGATCCCGTCTTCGATGCTCAGGATCGACACGTCAAACGTGCCTCCTCCCAGGTCGAAAATGAGGACATTCTTCTCCTTTCCGCTGCCTGCGCTGCTGCTGCTGCCTTTCTTGTCCAAGCCGTACGCGATAGCAGCTGCTGTCGGCTCGTTGATGATGCGGAGCACGTTTAGTCCTGCAATGGCGCCAGCGTCCTTGGTGGCTTGTCTCTGCGAATCGTTGAAGTAAGCTGGCACCGTTATCACCGCATTGTTCACGGTAGTCCCAAGGTAAGCTTCAGCTACCTCCTTCATCTTCACCAGCACCATCGATGAGATCTCCTCGGCTGAGAATCGTTTCTCCTCTCCCTTAAATTCCACCTCGATCAACGGCTTGTCGGACGCACCACGAACCACCTTGAACGGCCATAGATTCGCGTCAGCCTGAACTGTCGGATCGGAGTAGCGACGGCCGATCAACCGCTTAGCATCGAAGACCGTGTTTCTCGGGTTCATTGCCACTTGATTCTTCGCTGCGTCGCCGATGAGTCGCTCCGTGTCCGTGAATGCGACGTACGACGGGGTCGTGCGATTTCCCTGGTCATTTGCGACGATCTCTACTCGGTCATTCTGCCACACTCCGACGCAACTGTAGGTCGTTCCGAGGTCGATTCCAATAGCGGGTCCGCTGCCTTTAGCCATAGTTGTCTAATCTGGGCTATCTGGTGTCAAACTAGTGTCACGAAAAAAGCTTGGGATTTGAGCGCGTGGACGTAGAAAGCGAGTGAGCTTGAAATAATTTAGTGGTTTGAGAACGGAGCACGAGCTCGTTAATATAGTTGAACAAGGTAGCACCATAATACCCCAGCCAGCAGCCATGGCGGCCATCCACGAACAAGCTTCAGGTAAGCTCTCGAAGTCTGCAGAGTGAGGGACGAGTGGAAGGGAGCCCCCTGGTCTGGATTGTTCACGGACCTTCGCGAAGGGTGAGGAGACGATGGTTCGCGAAGCTACTGGGCTCGGTAACTTCTGTTGGGGGGAGGAGCGACAGGGCTGACACGGATACCAAGGCTGACACTGACAGGGCTGGGCAACGCTGGATCTTCGCGATGTTGACGACGATTCACGATGATACATTATCCTCCGTTTCCAGTTTAACGAGACACGACTGGAAGCTTCGCCAGAGTTCGAAAGATTTCGCGAATCGTGGGAAAATGTTTAGGTCGCAGCTTGTTCAACTTCCAATTGCTCTGCAGGAATCTGTTCTCCCTGTTTGACTGGTCGGCGGCGACAGCACATGAACTTCCCCCGCATTGTCGTCGCGTGAAGCCCAGCGATAGAGCTTCCGTCGCAGACGAGGCTGGTTGGCCATGGAGACACATGGCGTCCGTATCGCAACCACCACCACACCATCGCCGTTGACGTGACATGAATGCAACGAATGGCAGAACCCAAGCCAGCAGCTTGCCGAACCGGAAACCGAGCCTTCCCGAGCCAGACCAAACACCATCTGCGGGAAAATCGAGGCTATCAAACCTGGAACCCTGGGGTTTTCCAGAAGTGCCTTGGGCCCGCCCAGCCTGTATGCGTGCTGGGTGTCCCAGCTGCTCCCCAAACTGTTTTCCAGGCCTGGTTGCTTGTGGTTTTGCCGGACCTGGTTGCTTGTGGTTTTGCCGGACCTGGTTGCTTGTGGGCTTCGCAAACGCGTTTCCAGAAACCCCACCTGCTTCCTGGTTCAGCTCTCTGCCAGCCACCAAACCGAACCCAAGCCAACCTCTCTCTCTCCCCTCCCCTCCAGCACCACTCCCTCCAACGAACTGTCCGACCCATCCAAAGCAGCTCAAGCTTCTCAGAAATAAATAGTCTTGGCTTTCTTCTGTAGAGCATTACGTTTTCAGCAGCGTTCTTCAGTTCCTTCAGCTTGTAAGCTTTTCCCCCTCTCGCTCTCCTGTACTCGCTCAGTTGGTTAATCGTCGTCAGGCACCATGCAGATCTTTGTTAAGACCCTCACCGGCAAGACCATCACCCTTGAGGTGGAGAGCAGCGATACCATCGATAACGTGAAGGCCAAGATTCAGGACAAGGAGGGTATCCCCCTGACCAGCAGCGGCTTATTTTCGCCGGGAAGCAACTGGAGGACGGTCGTACTCTTGCTGACTACAACATCCAGAAGGAGTCGACGCTGCATCTGGTCCTCCGCCTTCGTGGTGGTATGCAGATCTTCGTCAAGACTCTCACCGGGAAGACCATCACCCTGGAGGTTGAGAGCAGCGACACCATCGATAACGTCAAGGCCAAGATTCAGGACAAGGAGGGTATCCCCCCTGACCAGCAGCGTTTGATTTTCGCCGGCAAGCAGTTGGAGGACGGCCGTACCCTTGCTGACTACAACATCCAGAAGGAGTCTACTCTTCACCTGGTGCTTCGTCTCCGTGGTGGCATGCAAATTTTCGTGAAGACTCTGACCGGAAAGACCATCACGCTTGAGGTCGAGAGCAGCGACACCATCGACAACGTGAAGGCCAAGATTCAGGACAAGGAGGGTATCCCCCCTGACCAGCAGCGTCTTATCTTCGCTGGCAAGCAGCTCGAGGACGGTCGTACCCTCGCCGATTACAACATCCAGAAGGAGTCGACCCTGCATCTGGTGCTGCGACTCCGCGGTGGGATGCAGATTTTTGTCAAGACCCTGACCGGCAAGACTATCACCCTTGAGGTCGAGAGCAGCGACACCATCGACAACGTGAAGGCCAAAATCCAGGACAAGGAGGGTATCCCCCCTGACCAGCAGCGTCTGATTTTCGCCGGCAAGCAGCTCGAGGACGGTCGTACCCTCGCCGATTACAACATCCAGAAGGAGTCAACCCTTCACCTGGTGCTGCGTCTTCGCGGTGGGATGCAGATCTTCGTTAAGACCCTCACCGGCAAGACCATCACCCTTGAGGTGGAGAGCAGCGATACCATCGATAACGTGAAGGCCAAGATTCAGGACAAGGAGGGTATCCCCCCTGACCAGCAGCGTCTGATTTTCGCCGGCAAGCAGCTGGAGGATGGTCGTACACTCGCTGATTACAACATTCAGAAAGAGTCGACGCTGCATCTGGTCCTTCGCCTTCGTGGTGGCATGCAGATTTTCGTGAAGACCCTTACCGGCAAGACGATTACTCTCGAGGTGGAGAGCAGCGATACCATTGATAACGTGAAGGCCAAGATCCAGGACAAGGAGGGTATCCCCCCTGACCAGCAGCGTCTTATCTTCGCTGGCAAGCAGTTGGAGGATGGACGTACTCTGGCGGATTACAACATCCAGAAGGAGTCAACCCTTCACCTTGTCCTCCGCCTCCGTGGGGGTCAGTAGGCCAGTGTCCTAGCCGGCCTGTGATGTAGTTGTTTGGCGTGCTGTTACTTGGAATTGTGTTAATGTGATTTTTTCATGGAAAGTCGGAGCCAAACAAATCATTCTACGCTTGTGCCATTGTAGTGCACATTGACCACGAGATTTGCTGAGTAATCCAACCTCTGTTGAACTGTGCAAACTGACATTTGCATTTGCATTTTGTGCACTGGTATGGTACCGTAACTGATGCATACTACTCAACCACTGAAAACATTTCCACTGTCAATACTAAATATCATTGCCTGCGTAGCAGTCGACGCATTATACGCCTCCTCGTGTGTTCAGATCTCACAGCAACAGCAAACAGCCGTGGAACTATGGCAGAGACGCCTAAAAGAAGGACAAGCGGCAACAGAAAGTGCAGATGAGGCAGTGGCACCTGCAGGTGTGAGAGCAATATGAGATGCGGGCGCATGTGAGTGGTAGTGTGAAGGGGAAGTCCAGGAGGTGATGATGCTATTGGCGGAGGTGGGGGGAGAGAGAAGTTGAAAGGAGGCAGCATGCGGTGAGGGATCTTGTTGAGGGTATCCGGGAGGAGAGTGAGGAATGAAACGAAAAGCGCTGTCCATGAGTTGACCACTTCCTGAATGCATAGTAGAGGGCGTAGGTAAAGGGAAAGGAACGGAAAGAAAAGAGAAGCAGTTGACAAAAAAGAGGATCCTTCTTGTGACAAGTGTTGTTACTAAATTGTAGTATTGTCCTGCACAAAAACAAAAACATGGTTTATGGGATGAAGGAAGGAATTAAAAAAGGAGAGAATATGGGGTAGAGAGTACCTGGAACTTTTCAGCAGTGATTGGATTGAAGAGCGGGAAGCAATCAGTAGTCGGAAAGCTCTCGTCGCCAAACGTCTGGAGAATAACCATGAAAACGGCCATGGTTAAGAAACGAAAGGAGAGCAAGAGGATGAGGACGGAACTGGAAAAAAGTGTGTGGCAGTGGAGTTGTTGGCGGCTTCATAACCAAGACGACCAAGGTGTTTAGAAAGAGGTGAAGAGCATGCCGTCTGGACGAACTCAAAAAAAAAAACAAAAAAAAAGGTGTATTTTGAGTTGAACTCCCAAGGCAACACAGATGCCAGGTAGAAGATCTGCCTGGTTGACGCGTTTGTTAAAAGGCATGAGAGCACGACGACACAGTAACAAAGTACTGTGCTATCATGCCTGACATTCATCAATGGCTGCTCTCACCTCAAATGTGACGGCAAGCGGCACTCGCAGCACATCGCGTGTTTTGAGTCTGACTTAAAATGCAGCCGGCACTTCTCACCTCAAATGTGAAAACAAGCGGCACTTGCAGCACGTCGTACATCCAATCAGTGGCCGTGCCGTGGGCGAAGTACCTGCAGGATCAGAGGGAGGGTGGAGAGGGGGGTGTAGAGGAGAGGGTGTAAGCAGCGCGTCGTACATCCAGTCAGTGGCTGTGCCGTGGGCGAAGTACCTGCAGGGAGAGGGAGAAAGGAGAAGTAGGCGTGGCGAGTGAGGGATTTGAATGGGGAGTACACATGGCACATCCATCGAGTGGCCGTGCCATGAGGAGCTTAGTTGCTACAAACGCTCTGGCAGACGCGCGTTTAGCGTTCGGATGCCAGCGTTCGAACGCAAACGCTAAACGGACCCAAAAACGCAAACGCTCGCTGGGAAATTTTCCGGTCTGCCCCTCCGAAAAAAACGTGAAATTTTTTACTGCGAAACTGAGACTTGGCAAATTCAGCGCGACATTCGCCAAGTCCCAACTCCAAACCAAGTCAAAATTCACCTCCCAACCAACTCCCCCCCCTCAACCGCACTCCACACATCATCAACTAGAACATCCAACCCCTCCCCCTCACATCTCATAGATCCACGCAAGTTCGCAATCCCCTCCCCCGTCAAAACCGCTTACCCTAACTGCCGCGCGCCATAGACATAGCCATTTTTCCTACGTAAAACATTCAACACCTTTTTTTGGAGCCAAATTGCTTGCTGGCAGTACCCCCATGTTTCCCCCCTTCCCCACAGGAAAATTTTACCCCTGCCCGGGAAAAAAAATTACCCCTGCCCGGGCAAGCGTTTGCCTAGCGTTCACAGACACGCTTCTGAGCGTTTAGCGTTCAAACGCTAAACGCGTTTGTAGCAACTCAGATGAGGAGTAGAAAGGAGCCAAGTACCTAAGAGGAATCGCGTGAAGAGAGGCGTGAGTGGTGGAATTAATGCACGTAACATCAGTAGCCGTCTCAGTTGTGAGATGGATGTGACAGAAACAGAGGAGGGATCCATGAGGGGATTCAGGAGAAGGGCAAGTAGGGGTGGGGGTTGGGGGTTACGAACAAAAAGATGACAAAGGGGGTTCGGAACAACATAGGAGGAAAGCGGGGTAGGGATCAACACATGGGACTGAGACAAAAATGCGTTAAAATAAGGGCGGGCATACACAAGGGGCAAATGCCTGTACTACTGAAGACTATCCTGCAAACCCCTTAGTGGGTGGTACTCACCCCACGAAGCCCCCACCCCCATGCGTGAGGAGTCTATTTTTGAGGCGCCTAAAAAATGGGGGGCATACACACAAGGAGCAAATGCCTGTACTACTGAAGAATATCCTGCTAACCACATCGTGGGTGGGTGGTACTCACCCCACGAAGCCCCCACCAGAGCCGATGACACAGCGACCCCCACAGTGTGCTGCGTCTAGGCGCTCCAAGAGGGACTGATGGCAGGAGGGGGTGGGAATGTAAGGGAGAGAGGGGGGAGAAACGAAGGGAGGGGAGGGGGGGGGAGGGGGGGGGGGATGACACAGCGACCCCCACAGTGTGTTGCGTCCAGGCGCTCCAAGAGGGACTGATGGCAGGAGGGTGGGGATGTCAGGGAGAGAGGGGGGAGAAACGAAGGGAGGGGAGGGGGGGGGAGGGGGGGGGGATGACACAGCGACCCCCACAGTGTGCTGCATCCAGATGCTCCAAGAGGGACTGATGGCAGGAGGGGGTGGGGATGTAAGGGAGAGAGAGGGGAGAGAGGGGGAGTAGGAGAGGGGAGGGGGGGGAATGACACAGCGAGCTCCACAGTGTGCTGCATGCAGGCGCTCCAAGAGAGCCTGATGACAGGGGAGCCTCGTTTCCATCCTTCCTTCCTCAGTCACCCACTCACGTGCATGGCAGCCAGTGTGCGAGTATCAATCAACGCCACCCCCCCGCGGTCAAGTGGAGTGCAGTGAAGTGAACCTCCATGCCCGATGCACATAAACCCCTCACATAAACTCACCCTCTCTCGCACTCACGTGCTCACACTTTCATTCACTACCTCACTCACTCCCTCGTTCCCCTCCTTTCCACTCGCATGCATGGCAACCAGCGTGGCAGCATCCACGCCACCCTCCCAGCGGTCAAGGGGAGTGAAAGCGCCTCCATGCCCGAATGCATATTCACCCACACATGTAGGCTCATCCACACATGCACTCAAAATACACACATCCCGTCCCCTGCTCACGTGCATGGCAGCCAGCGTGGCAGCATCAACACCGTCCCCCCGGTGGTCAAGCGGTGTGAAAAGCGCCTCCATGCCCGAATGCACGTTCACCCACACATGGGGGCGAAACCACACGGCCAGTTGCCTCATCGCCTCTGTCTCTGGCTCGCTGAACGCACGGGCGCCAGGGGCCTCCTCTAGAGGGTTGTAGTCCTGGGAGTTGGAAGGAATAGCAGAGAGGGCGGGGAAACGGAGAGCTTCATTCACCCTCACATGCGGCCGAAACCACACGGCCAGTTGCCTCATCGCCTCTGTCTCTGGCTCGCTGAACGCATGGGCGCCAGGGGCCTCCTCTAGAGGGTTGCAGTCCTGGGAGTTGGAAGGAATAGCAGAGAGGGCGGGGAAACGGAGAGCTTCATTCACCCTCACATGCGGCCGAAACCACACCGCCAGCTGCCTCATCGCCTCTGCCTCTGGCTCGCTGAACGCATTGCCGCCAGGGGCCTCCTCTAGAGGGTTGTAATCCTGGGAGGAGCAGGGACAGGTAGGCGAGGGAGAGTGGAAGGTGCACGGTTCACCCACACGTGTGGTCGGAGCCACAGTGCCAGTTGCCTTATGGCCTCTGTTTCTAGCTTGCTGAAGGAATGGGTGCCAGGTGCTTCCCCTAGAGCGTTCTAGTCCTGGGAGGAGCAGGGATGGTAGGGCAGGGAGCGTGAAAGGTGCAAGGTTCACCCGTCAGCCACACGTGTGGTCGGAACCACACTACCAGGTGCCTTATGGCCTCTGTTTCTAGCTTGCTGAAGGCAACTGCCAGGTGCCTGCCAGGTGCTTCCTCTAGAGCGCTGTAGTCCTGTGCGGCGAGCAAGGAAAAAGGAGAGCAAGGGAGTGCCTGTGCAGAGAGGTGGCGAGCGTCATTCACAACCGCCTGTCAGGCATGCAGCGTTTGATTCGGCTAAAAAAACGGTTCATTCATCCAGATATGCTTTTGAGGTGACTCAAACGCTAAAAAAGCGGTGCATTCGCCCAGACATGCATTTGAGGTGCCTCAAAGGCTAAAAAAGCGGTTCATTCACCCAGATATGCTGCCAAAACCACACCGCCAGGTGCCTCATTGCCTCTGCCTCTGGCTCACTGAACGAATAGGTGCTGCCTACCAGTGCAGTGCAGGGGTACAGTAGAACATGGTATGGCATGTTATGGTATGGCATGTTATGGTATGGCATGTCATGGTATGGCATGTTATGGTATGGCATGCTATGGTATGGCATGTCATGGTATGGCATGTTATGGTATGGCATGTCATGGTATGGCATGTCATGGTATGGCATGTCATGGTATGGCATGTTATGGTATGGCATGTCATGGTATGGCATGTTATGGTATGGCATGTTATGGTATGGCACGTTATGGTATGGCATGTCATGGTATGGCATGTCATGGTATGGCATGTCATGGTATGGCATGTTATGGTATGGCATGTCATGGTATGGCATGTTATGGTATGGCATGTTATGGTATGGCACGTTATGGTATGGCATGTCATGGTATGGCATGTCATGGTATGGCATGTCATGGTATGGCATGTTATGGTATGGCATGTCATGGTATGGCATGTTATGGTATGGCATGTTATGGTATGGCACGTTATGGTATGGCATGTCATGGTATGGCATGTTATGGTATGGCATGTTATGGTATGGCATGTCATGGTATGGCATGTTATGGTATGGCATGTTATGGTATGGCATGCCATGGTATGGCATGTCATGGTATGGCATGTTATGGTATGGCATGTTATGGTATGGCATGATCTGGCATGGCTTGCCATGATATGGTAGTATGGTATGGCATGGCATGGCATGGTAAGGTATGGCATGCTACCTGTTCCTTCACTCCCCAGTCGCAATCCCAGTTCCTGTTGATGTCCACGCCACGACCTGCAGAAGGGATGGAGGGGGGGGGCGGGGGGGGTGGTGTGGGGGAAAGATGATATTGAAGGAACGGCAGGAGTGTCCCTCTAGATGACTTTTGAGTCGACTCAAAAGTCATGGGGGAAAGGAGATATTGAAGGAACGGCAGGAGTGTGACTCTATGTGGCAGCCAGTCGCAATCCCAGTTCCTGTTGACGTCCACGCCACGACCTGCAGAAGGGATAGGCGAGGGGTGGATGTACGGCGCGGTTGGATGGATGAATGGCTCCTTTGATTTGAAACGAGATTGCATGGGGGGACGAGTGAACACCACTTGAATGGGGGGACGAGTGAACACCACTTGAATGGGGGACGGAGCCGGCATGGGGGAGGGCTTTTGAGTCGACTGAAGAGATGAGCTGCCATGAGGAGAGAAGATGAATAGTTGAATAGATAGAAGATGAATAGCTGAATAGATAGAAGATGAATAGATGAAGAGATAGAAGATGAATAGATGAATAGATGAAGATGGATAGATGAACAGATAGAAGATGAATAGCTGAATAGATAGAAGATGAATAGCTGAATAGATAGAAGATGAATAGCTGAATAGATAGAAGATGAATAGATGAATAGATAGAAGATGAATAGATGAATAGATAGAAGATGAATAGATGAATCGATGAAGATGAATAGATGAAGATAGAAGATGAATAGATGAAAAGATGAATAGATAGAAGATGAATAGATGAATAGATAGAAGATGAATAGATGAATAGATAGAAGATGAATAGATGAATAGATAGAAGATGAATAGATGGAAATCGGCACAGCATCAGAGCAGTCTTAACGTGGTTCTGATGCAGTGGTTGCACTCTGGTCCTTAACAGCTTGCTCCAAAAGCTGCGGGCGCATACATGCAGTGGCCACTAACTTAGTATTTATTATGCATAAAATCCTCGCATTCTCGCTCTTCCTTCAAGAGCCATACTACAATTACATCTCTTCACACCGTTACATCACTTCACACCGTTACATCTCTTCTCACTGTTACATCGCTTCTATCCTTTACATCTCTTCTATCCATTACATCTCTTCTCACCGTTACATATCTTCTATCCGATACACTTCTTCTCACCGTTACATCTCTTCGCACCACCACTTTTCTTCTCACCGTTTCGTCTTTCACAGAGCTGACCCGCTTCCACCTTCTTCCTCCCATTCACATTCTCCATGGGCACAATCTGCAAAACAGCCCAAATAGATACAGGGAGTTGCACAGGGATGGCGGTCAACAGAAAGACTGAATGGTTCTTGAGTCGACTCAAGAGTCACCACAATCTGCAAAACAGCAACGTAGATGCAGAATTTTGTGTTCACTCAAAAACGATCTGCGAAACAGCCACATAGATGCAGACTTTTGAGTCGACGGCAAAACGATCTGCAAAACAGCCCACATAGATGCAGACTTTTGAGTCGACGACAAAACGATCTGCAAAACAGCCCACATAGATGCAGACTTTTGAGTTGACGACAAAACGATCTGCAAAACAGCCACATAGATGCAGACTATTGAGTTAACTCAAAAACGACCTGCAAAGCAGCCACATAGATGCAGCGAGTCGCACGGGTATGGATTTCAGCAAAGTGACTGCATGCCATTCGCCAACAGGAAAGGAACGCGTCGATGTATATGCACACATGCAGCATGCGTTTACAATTCCAACTCATCCACACCCGCTTTTTCCCCCAAAACGCAAGCGCGAATGACGCATGCACGTACACACAGTCACGCACTCCCCCTCAAACACACAGTACCCTCCCCCCCCTCCACCACCACCACCCCCCCCACACACACACGCACGCACGCACGCACTCACACACGCACGCATGCACACACGCGCGCGCGCGCGCACAAACACACACACACGCAGATGCGTGCACCCATAGAGACAGTCATCGCACCCATCGTGACAAGGTGCGGCCAGATTAATGCCTTTTGAGTCGACTCAAAAACCCGCCTCCAACACACACGCACACACGCAGACGCGTGCACCCATACAGACAGCCATCGCACCCACCGTGATGACAAGGTGCGGCCAGATCAGTGCAAGTTGCTCCCAGCTTATTCCACCCTTGTTTCCCTCCGCCCCTTCTTTCCCTCCTCCCCCGCCTCCCCCTCTCCCTTCTTCCCCCCATCCCCTTCCTCCTCTTTCTCTTTCCCCCCCTCTCCCCCCTTGTCATCCTCCGCCCCTCCCTGTTTCTCACTCTCCTGCTTCTCTCCTCTCTCAACTAACTCCCTCTCCCCCACTAGGATCCTCAGCAAGTTAAAGCCGAGTTCTGTAGTAATGGCCTCCCTGCCGTGCTGCCCAAACACCTTGAGCCTTGAGGGAAGGGGGTGGGAGGGAGGGAGAGAGGAGAAAAGGAGGGATCATGAAAGAGTAAGAGATAATGAGAAGCCCCCCTCAGTCGCAATGGCCTCCCTTACGAGGAGAATGCGGAGCTTTCCAGACAGCTCTGAAGGAAGGTCAGTCGAGAAGCCAGGGAGGGATGCTAGCCGCACTGCTGCACGACGCGTTACTGCAGCTGTAGTTTGTTCGTCGCGTCGCGTGGACAACGAGACAGCCAGAAGCGGCACTTACGAGGAGAACGCGCAGCTTCCCGGACAGCTCAGAAGGAAGGTCAGTGGAGAAGCCAGGGATGCTAGCCGCACTGCTGCACGACGCGTTACTGCGACCTCCACTCCTCTCAAGATAGCCTGCACCGCCACCAAAGCCGGTGAACGCACCATCGCCATCTGCTGCATCCTCTCCTCCTCTAGCAGCTCCCCCAGCAGCATTGCCAATCATGCCTGTGCCCTTGCCCTCTGCAGACGCACCACCAGAGTCACCAGAGTTAGTAATCGGATTAGAACCTTCAAATAAGCAGCTTGGAACCTTCCCCAGATGTAGCCTGCGTGGAAGCAGCATCAGAAGCATGACTTTGCATAGAAACCCCCCTGCTTGTGGTAGTAGCGCCTTTTGCAAAAGCACCTTTTGTGGCAGCAACTGGTGTCGACAAGCCTATGATTTTTGAGGCGCCTAAAAAATAGCCCCCCTGCTTGTGGTAGTAGCGCCTTTTGCAAACGCACCTTGTGTGGCAGCAGCCGCTGTCGACGGGTCATGCTTCACAGAGGCGCCAGGAAGAGGGGAAGGCGTGCCTTGAACGCTGCGCAGCATTCGCCTGAGCGAGGAGGTCCTGGAGACATCTTGAACGCTGTGCAATTGTCTCCTCAGCGAGGGCTCTTGCTTCACAGCAGCTCGAGGAAGAGGTGAAGGCGTGCCTTGAACCCTGCGCAGGCCTTGCCTGAGCGAGGAGGTTCTGGAGACATCTGAGTGTCGGGCTGCTGTAAGGTTTGTCCAGCCTACTGGTGGTGCTGATACACTCGTCTGATGTGAGGAAGCTGATAGCGAGGATGGGAACGATCCCAACGATGATGGCAGGGTTGTTGTGGGATGTACTGGCGCCGAATGCAGTGCCTCCGGTGACTCCATAATCCCCTGGGGGTAGGAATGCCCTAGTGCTTGCCCCTGGCTCGTCATGTCCTCGTCCTTCTCATCGTGCTTGCTGACAGCCCACCGTATCCGCCTCACTCCTCCTCCACCACCACCACCACCACCACCACCACCACCACCACCACCACCACCACCACCACCACCAGTACCACCACCAGCAGCAGCAGCAGCAGCAGCAGCAGCAGCAGCAGCAGCAGCACCACCACCACCACCACCAGCAGCACCACCACCACCAGCACCACCACCACCACCACCACCACCAGCAGTGGCAGCAGCAGCGCTATGTGCAGAGGAAAAAACGTGCTCAATAGCACTCTGCAGCCTCCAACCCCACCGCGGCACCACTCTGCCTAGGCGTGGTCCAGAATCGGCTTCTGACCCCAATTCCATGCTCCTACTTCTCGAGCTTCTGCTGCCTGCTGGCCGAGCAGCAGAGCCACCGTGACTTCTAGTCGCTCTAATCTCCTTCATTTCCCTGTCATCACGAGTATCGCCCTCCCTGGCACCAGGAGCGCTCCTGTTGCTGCTGTTGCTGCTGACGGTGCCGCTGCTGCTGCTAATGAGCCGCCTGTGCTTGCTACTCGACCCATCCCTCATCCACTGCTTCCTGTTTCCCCTCTCCATAGTCACACGCCCTCCTTCTGAGCTTCCTCCACCACCTTCCAGGCCTGAATTGGAGGTTTGGCCCGAGCTTCCATCCGAGCCTGTGGGCCTGTTGTCAGCCTCGGAACGAGGTAGTGGGATGCGTGAACAGTGTAGCGTAACCGCAGTGAGGGTTGATCTGTAACCGCCGGAAGATTGGATGGTTATCTCCTTAAGCTGCATGCATTGGATTGGAGGTCCTCCAATAGAGGACATAACAGGGGAATGTGGCATGGAAATTAGGTTTTTGTGAACGCAACCTACCCTACTGGTCATATGCATGATGCGAGGGAAAAAATGATCGATTCAACAAGACAGCTGCCAGCTCAGCAACGCTAAGTGCCAGCTCGGCAAGGCAAGTGCCAGCTCACCTCTGCAGCATGGGGATGCCGGGCGGCCAGAGATTGTATCTCACGAAGCAACTCATCACTGCACAGATGCACGGATACAGCAGGCAGGGAGTTGTTGATTCATATGATGAGTTGAATTGGTTGTTGAGACTTCAAAAACCAATTTAACGCACAGTACTGGGGAGTCAATACAGACGAAGGCATGCAGATGGTACAGTCCGAGAGGCCCGGTAAAGGGGATGGACGAGAGCTGAACAGAACAGCTCAGGAACAGAAGGGAGGAGGCCACGCCACGGAAGGGAGCTCTGGGGGGAGTTCAAAGCCTAGAGTAGTAAACGCTACCCGAAACGAACGAGCTGAGCCCAGAGCGGGGGAGTTGAGCCCAGAGCGGGGGAGTTGAGCCCAGAGCGGGGGAGTTGAACCCAGAGCGGGGGAGTTGAGCCCAGAGCGGGGGAGTTGAGCCCAGAGCGGGGGAGTTGAGCCCAGAGCGGGGGAGTTGAGCCCAGAGCGGGGGAGTTGAGCCCAGAGCGGGGGAGTTGAGCCCAGAGCGGGGGAGTTGAGCCCAGAGCGGGAATCCACAAACCTGGGACGAGGATCGAACCTGGAATGGTAGAGCGTGAAGTTGAATGGGGTGAGCTTCGGCGCCTTGGAGGCTTTCGACGTCGAAGAGGATGAGGCGCTATTGTTGACACTGCCACGCGACTGATCGGCGGTCGCATTAGGCGACTCTTGCCGCTTGGTTGTTTGTGAAGCAGAGAGAGCCGGGCCGAGCAGCAGGAGAAGAGCGACAAGCACCTGGAAATGCGGGGAAGAAAGGGCAGGATTTTGAAAAAAATCGGGTCAGAACGGGCTTGTTAGGACCTTCATCTGCTTCTATCGTTGGACAAGTAGAGAAAACGCGTAGTACTAGGAAGACGAGTTTCGTTAGCAGTATGCGTACTGTACCTTAGTGGTACAACAATGTAAACGGAGCGGGCGGTGTAACGATCCATCGGACCGGAAGAAGCGCTGCATGGCTGACACGAAGGCCTCGCTCGCGCCAGAAACGGAAATCGTTTCGCCTTTTCTCCTCCAGCGATTTTGCATGTTACGTGTCGCTGTGCTGCGACGGCTGCCGCCAAACACACTCCGTCGCAGCATTAATCATTCGGAATTCAGCGTTGACGGCCCGGGCCCGCATAAGAACGGTAGACTAGTTGGTGATGCATTGAGAATCAACCATGGCTGGCGTGTAATTCACACACCAAAAGAGAGGCGAGCGAGAAAGTTAGTTTGGATCAGGGAGGAATGAACGTTTACAGGGAGGGATGAAAATAGTTCGGCATGGAAACGCATTTGGCGCACTGAAACGCACGAAAAAGCTCTCGACCGCTGTGTCGTCCAAATTGTCCATATCCATACTCCTGCTCGCGAATTGGGCTGATCTTCTGGTTACCAAAATGTCGCGAAGTTACCAGCATGTGCACAGAGGGGGTGGGGTGCTTGTCTCCATTCGCCCTGCAAGCTTCCAGTCGTCTTGTTCGTGACAGCACAGTTCCAGTCGCCATCGCCTTGCCTCAGGTGACCGTTGTGGTTTTCGCCGAACGTGGCAGTTTGGGTGCTGTCGCCACCGTTCTTGTCCACTGGTTGGCTGATCCCCCTTTCGCGAATTCAGGCCCACGAGAAAACAATAGGAAGGGTTTTGGTCCATCAGGAAACCTAGGGATTTGGACAGGTTATGGTTTTCGCAAACATTTGAGGCATCCTCGCACGTCCATTTATGGGCAAATGTCTTTGGCGAAATCGCAAGTAGTTGCGCAATTCGGGAAGCGCAACTCTAAACACTACGCCCTAAGAATCAACCTTGTGAATTGCCGCCGTTTTTGGAGAAAACCCGCGATCTAGTTTCTAGGTAGCTTTCCATGTCATTACATTAGGTGTTTATTCACAGTATAGTTGCTGCTGACAGCAGCACAGCCGTGGTGCTGATTTTCAAACTCATCCGCTCCTTCTTTCCGCCAAACTGTTATTCCACCAGAACGTTCTTGTGACGTCATACTTACCAAATTAGTTCCCTTCATGGAACGACCAGATTGGAGCACCTATGTCACAAAGGAAGGATCTATTAGCATCAAGGTAAATGCTCGACGTGAGACACCTAAAGGAAACCGTTTGTTGGTCCTTGGCCCGTCCTTTATTCGGTCTAGTCGACGCCCGCCAGTTCGCGAAGCTCCCGATGCATCGCGGTTGATCCCTCGGTCCACTTTTGCGAGCCGATTTCTCGTTTTTTTTTCTTCCTTTCCCTTTTTCTTTTTTTCTTCTTCTAAGGGGCAACGGCCAGTTTCACGCAATAAAACCTTTTCCCGCTTTGGAAACCGATTTATAATTCCGCTGTCTATCTTTCGCTTCCTTTCCTTTTACTTGGTCCTCCGCCAGAATAAAGTTCGCACGGCGACTATTGTCGAAGAAGCCAGCGTTCGCATCAACTTTGCGTCGCAAGTTGCTGCTGTAGTAGATGCGCCGTCGAAGGACTCTGCTCCGCAGTCCGCTGCTGGAGAGCTTCGGTCCCAACCTGAGACAGAGCCTCGGAAGAAGGGCCGGGATGCGTCGTCCACTTCAGATCAGGATCGGAATATTGCAAGGAGGGAAGGGGCAAAAGCGCATGACAGTTCGCACTCGGCGAAACAAGAATCGCCGCTGCAACGGCCACAGCAGCAGCAGCAGCAGCAGCAGCAGCATAAGCACCATCAACAGCAGCAGCAGTCTGGAGCCCAGACGAAGCGGCAGAGGCAGGATGTGTCATCGCCAGCATCTGGACATCGAGACGCCTATTCCAGGGTAGGACTTAATAGGTTTATCACGGTAAGAGGTACGTTTTATCAGAGGAAGAAAATATCCAGAGTAAGATGTAGGGACAAGTGAACTGCATGCTGTGGAATATAAGGATTGGAAGGATCTTTCCTGGTATAGCACATGTGGAGTGTCTGAAGGTGTGGCTGCATCTGAAATCGCGTTTTTTTCTTCTTCATCCTCCGTTCCTTCCCCTCCCGTGCTCATGCCCTGCGATACAAGGTTGGTTTTGAGACGTCTCAACTCAAAACCAACCTTCCTCCGTACCTTCCCCTCCTCTGCTCATGCCCTCCTGCTCTTGCCCCGTCCCCCCCCCCCGCCCTCCCCTCCCCCCGGCCCCCCCCCTTTCCTCCCAACCCCACCGCTGGGCGAATCAGCGCCTTCTTCCCCCAGAGGCGCTTCCCTGGGCGGCGCTGGCGGGGGGCGCGGTGGCAGCAGTCGCAATGGCAGCAGCAGGTATACGCAGGTCGCCAGGGCAGCAGCAGCAGATCCAGCAGGGGCCCAGTTACAGCACCCACCACCACCGATGCGAGGACGCCCAGCCTCTGCCGTTTCGCCGGCCGTCCGAAGCCTCGTGCTGCACCACTGCTGCGTCGGGGATACAGAGCGCAGGGGGGAATGGGGGGAGAGGGGGCAGATGCAGGGAGGATGGGGTGAGGGTGAGTAGTCACGGCCGAAGTGAAAGGTCCGGAGGAGGAGGAGCAGGAGGAGGAGCAGGAGGAGGAGCAGGAGGAGGAGGGGGAGGAGGAGGGGGAGGAGAAGCAAGAGCAGCCGGAGCAGGTGAAGCACGAGGAGGAAGGAAGAAGACCACATGTGAGCGCGCAACGGGCGAGGAGGGGAGCGGGAGTAAAGGATCAGCAGCCGCATGCTCCCCTCGCAACTCCACCACCAGTGCTCTTGAACGGGACTTACGAGGTCTCTCTCTCGCAGAGAAGCAAGCACAGGGATCTGGAGGAGAGTCCACAGCTGCAATCGGGATGCGGGATGCGGCTAAAGCTGCTGCTTCTGCCACGGCTGCTAGACGTAGTAAGGGTGGTGCTTGTGGTGGTGCGTGTGGTGCTGCTGATGCTGGCAGTGGCAGTGGTGTCAGTGCTGGTGCTCCGGGTGCTCCTAACTCAAGTGAGGAGGGGAAAGACGGCTCTCCTGCGTCTGTGCTCCGCCGCTCCAGGGGCAAGGCAGGGGGGGCGACGCCCCATATGTGCACGACAGGGGGAGTGGCGCCTCATAGGGGCAAGGTGGGTGAAAGAGCTTCACCCTGCTCGACGCACAGCAAGCACGGGACTGGGGGCGGTTCTAGGGGAGGGAAGAGAGAGCACGGGGACTCGGAGGATTGTGGAGGGGAGTATGAGGAGGGGGTTCGGGACGAATGGCACAGGGGATATCAGTGGGGCTCGGAGGGAAGGGGCAGAGGACGAGGAGGAGGTGGAGGAGGAGGTGGAGGAGGAGGTGAAGGAGGAGGAGGAGGAGGAGTGGGGAATGGGGAGGAGGGTTGGGTAAGTGTTGAAACGGGCTCTCTTGCGGCCTCTTTAGAGAGCTCTCCGTACTCTCAAAACGGCTTCCGTTCTGCCTCTACTCATGGCTTTCCTGCTGGGCGACTTGACGGGTCCACGTCCACCCCAGGGTCAGGGTCTGGCATTCCTCTTCTTGGGTGTCTCGACAGTTCGACACCAGGGTCGTTCACTGTGTCCCACGTGTCCCACCTCTCTCCTCTGCCGTCTCCCGCTGTCGGCAAGCCGCTTGTGTCGGCCAGCATGCCGCGTGCCGAAATGGGCTCTCAGTCCGCTGAAAGGGCTCTAATCTCAACCAGTACTACCAGTCCTGCTGAAATGACCTTTGAGTCGGCTGAAAAGCCACTAGTATCCGGCAGTGGGAGCCGAGCCGAGGTGCTTCGTCTGCGGTCGCAGCTGCGGCGGCGGGACGATATAATCTTTTCCATGCAGGCGCGGATGGCGGTCTTGGAGGAGGAGAAGCGGAGGGCGGAGAGTGAGACTGCGAGTGCTGTGGCAGCAGCAGCAGCAGCGAGGGAGGGCGCGAAAGCAGCAGAATCACAGCTGCAGGGGCGAGACGAGGTGATCTTTTCCATGCAGGCGAGAATGGGAGTGTTGGAGGAAGAAAGGCGGAGAGCGGAGGGGAAGATTGCCGCTGCTGTGGCTGCAGCCACGGCTGCGAGGGAGGAGGCGAGAGCAGCAGTGGCTAGGATGCGTGAGGCGTTGGAGGAAGCTGCTGCAGGGGGGGCTAGGGCCCAGAGGGGAGGGTGGGGAGGAGAGGATGAGAAGGAGGAGGTGGAGAGGGACATGGAGAGGGAAGTGGAGAGGCGAGTTGCTGCTGTGACTGAGGCTCTGCTGGGGAGATTGCAGGAGAGTGAGAAGAGGGCGGAGGAGAGTGAGAAGAGGGCGGGGGAGAGTGAGTCTATAGCAAAGGAGAGTGAGAGGAGGGCAGTGATGTGGGAGGAGAGGGAGAAGGAGGCAGTTGCCGCTCTGAAAGCCAGTCAGCGGGAGCTGGCAGCCGCACAGCAGGCACTCTCTGCTGCCCTGGAAGAGCTTGCTGGGGCTCGTGCTACAGCAGCAGCTTTTGACGCGTCTCAGGATGTAGCATTAGCACAGCAGGCGCTCTCGGCTGCCTTAGAGGAGCTTGCTGATGCCCGTGCTACAGCAGCAGCAGCACAGGAGCGGGTGCACGAGTTAGAGGAGCAGAAAGCCAAAGGAGGGCAGCAGCAGCAGCTGGAAAGCTCAGCTGGCGTTTCCGGTGCTGCTGCTGTTGCTACAGCTGCTCCTGCTGGCCCCGCTGTGAGTCGTGCTTCTGCTGCCGCGGATGCATCTGGTATGAGGGATTCTTCACACCAACAACCCCAGCCCGAGCTTCCGGCATCTGTTATGGGGGATTCTTTACACCAACAACCCGAGCCTCTGGAATCCGTGCAGCTGACGGAGCGACACCTGGACGACATCCGAGCCTTGCTGGCGGATTACCGAGCCTTGGAGTCCGCTCTGTCGGAGGCTCGGGAGGAGTGCCGAGCCTTGGCGACAGCTAAGGAGGAGGGGGAGCGGGCCATGGCACAGGCGCTGGCAGAGCATGCAGAGATGGCGGAGGAGGTGGGGAGGATGGAGGGGGAGATCAAGAGGCTGAGGAAAGAGTTGAGTGGGAGAAGCATAGCAGATGGAGAGGGCAGGGCGTTTGGTCAGTGGAATGACGACGGGGAACACGAGACGGTGGAGGGGATGGGGAGAAGGGATGGGGGAGTGGAAGGGGAAGTGGTGGGGGAAGTGAGAAGACTGAGGGAGGAGTGCTGGGCCTTGAGGGCAGCTAAGGACGAGGGGGAGCGGGCCATGGCACAGGCGCTGGCTGAACATGCGGAGATGGTGGAGGAGGTGGGGAGGATGGAGGGGGAGATCATGAGGCTGCGGGCTGAAGAGAGGGAGAAAGCAGCAGAACTGGGTCTTCAGAACGGATGGCTGAGGGAGTGGCAGAGGGGGGAGCAGAGGGAGCAGAGGGAGCAGAGGGAGCAGAGGGAGCAGAGGGAGCAGAGGGAGGAGCAGAGGGAGCAGAGGGAGGAGCAGAGGGAGCAGAGGGAGGAGCAGAGGGAGCAGAGGGAGGAGCAGAGGGAGCAGAGGGAGCAGAGGGAGGAGCAAAGGGAGCAGCAGAGGGAGGAGGGAACCACTGTTGCTGGAAGCCAAGAGGAGCAAACACGTGGGGCTGGCCTGGCAGTAGCGGGTGAGAGGAAGCTAGAGGCCGTGGGGGGCACTGTTTGGGAAAATATACCTTATTTGCAGCGAGGGCAGGCGGTTTCAGATGGACGAGTGGAAGAGGAGGGGGGAGGACGAGTGGAAGAGGATGAGGATGAGGGGGGAGGAAAACGAGCGGAGTTTTCAGCTGAGGCAGCAGCAGCAGGAGCAGCAGACAGAGCAGCACTGGTGACGGATTTGGCAGAGACGTTTCATCGAGTTACTGTCCATGAGAATCATATTTACGTACCTGCTGCTGCTGCTGCTGCTGCTGCTGGACTTAGTACTGAAGGTGTGCCTGGTGGTGCTGGCTTAGCTGCAAGCTCTAGTTTCACTTCAGGCAGTGGCTCTGCTTCGCACATAGCTGCTGCTGCTGTGGGAGACGAGGGTGCATCAGAAGTTGCAGCAGCAGCAGTCTTGGCCAAGCTCCTTGCTGCTGCTGAGCAGGCGCTCTTTTTCCAGGGTGATTTCCCCGGCGATGCCCCTGAAATGTCTTCCAGGGAGATGGTTGAACATGGATACATTTCTCGGGGTGCAGGAAAGGGGAAAGTTGTGGGGGAAAGGGATGGTCAAGCAAGAGCAGGAGAGAGGAGAGAAGAATCAAATCTCCACTCACTCGGGGTGGAGGGCGACTCTAGTGTTCTTAAAAGGGTAAGGGAGGATGACAGTATCGAGTATTTGCTAGAGAACTCTGATTCAAGCGTGAGCCGGCACAGGGGGCCTGAGGTGGCAGCACTAGGGTTTCACATAGGCAGCAGCGGTGCAGTGGGTATGGTTGCTAGGGGTGATGGCGCTGGTGGTGCTGCTCGTAGCGCTGCTGGTGTCACTACTGCGTCCTCCCCCCTGCTTAGCCTGCTCTCTCCCCAGGAAGTGAGTCTGCTGCGACAGCACGCCATGCAGCTAAGGATGAGAGCAGCGCATAGAGGGGCAGCACGCAGAGGAGGTGCAGGGGTAAAGGGAGCAGCAGCAGGAGCGAGTGGCAGGGGAGGGGAAGGCACGGAGCATGGTGGATATTCTGTAAGTGGAGAGGGGGGCAGCAGCAGTACTGCAGTCGTGGGTGCGGTGACTGGTCACGCTGCAGAGGTAACAACAGAAGCCACGGAAGCAGCAGCTGCAGCAGCAGGAGGACCGGCAAGAGAGCAGCAGGGCAGCCGGCCTTTTTTCACATTCACCTCGTCTTGCGATGATGCCTCACGTGCAGCAAGGGGTCCATTAGCTGGCCTGTTGTCCTCCAGGAGAGAAGGGACGGTGCTGGGTGGGAGGATGGGAGAAGGTAGGGGAGCGATGATTAGGGGAGCGATGTTTAGGGGAAGCAGAAGTAGCACCAGGTTTCACCAGCAGCAGCAGCAGCAGCAGCACCAGCATCAACATTCTCGATCCCTAAATCTGAGAGAAAGCAGTGGACGTTTTGTGCTTGTGCCTGACAGCAATGATCCCAGCAAGAAAAGGTGGCAGTGGGAAAAGACTGGTCCTAGAAGCAGCAGGAGCAGGAGCAACAGAATATCTGTTTTTCCTGGGTCTGCTGATGCCGGTGCTGGTAATGATGGGAACTGTGGAAACGGTGGGAACGGTGGAAATGGTGGAAATGAGAGAAATGGTTCGACTGGTGCTGCTGTTTTAGCAGGGGCAACTGGCTCTGCTGGCTCGGGTGCTTCTGGCGTCTCAATTGCGTCTGGTGGTGGTTTGGGTGGCTCTGGGGGCTCTGGTGGTTCTGGTAATGGCAGCAGTGGTGTTGAGGCTGCATCAGCTGCTGCTGTTGCACTGGTGAGTGGCGGTGTTGGGGGACGAATGAGTGAACAGGTTCCTGCTGTAGTGGATAGCACATCAGCTGCAGCAGCAACTGTCCTGCCAACGACAGCAGCAGGTGATTCTCAATCTAAAGAAGTTGGAAGATATCTCTGGAACCTTCTAGATGACATGTAGGGTCTTAATTTTTAGAGAGTAAATATTGTGTTGGATTGTTTACTTTCGTTGACATACACTGGATTCTTGTTTTATGAGCAATTGGATATACTTGCATTTCACCTGATTGAGCATCTTCATCACCCCTTAGCTGCAAAGCTGGCGGGAACCCAGCGAAGCGTCTCAGATCACGTTCCGAAGTTTGGCCGAGTTGAAGTTTGGCCATCCGATTCGCCACGTAAGCGTTGGGCTTGCCAAGCTTGGGGTTTTGGTTGGCAAAAGTCGGGGTTAGTGAACTTTGGCCAGCCGCAGTGCCACGTCACAGGCGACAGTTCGGTCGACATTTAACGAAAAAACTAGCGTCGCGCCAAATCAGAATGTTTGCGAACGATAAAACGACTCTGGGCGAAACCACCCTAACGCCTTATCTCATAGGCGACCCCTGTCGGCCAGCTTCCGGAGAATTTTGAAGTTATGCAAAAATCCCACAAAATTTCCCACCACAAAGGTTTCGTCCTCGGTCGCAGATGTTCGTGGGCACCGGTCGCCCGAATTTTGGCCGGCAAGGTGTTGTTGGCTAAAGTTCGAGCCACACGGCTAAACTTTGCAATGTGCAATTCCGACGTGGCGAGTCGCATGGCCAAACTTCAAAGTCGGCCAAACTTCAGAACGTGCCTTGAAGTTGACAAGCTCCAAACATCTCGCTGACGTTTAGGAGCAAGGCCATCCCAGATCATAGCATACTGGTACTCACCCACATGGTTCTCATCTCGAATGTAAGGCATTCATGATTCGGCAGTGATGCAGTGATGTTATCACGATCGCCGGGCCCTGGAAGCTCTCGGCCTTCTCGTAGCGTCGCGAGGCTTTTACGCAGTCATAGGTAGTCGAGTCGACTTGGTGCGAAGAAGCATTCCAGAGGACCAATCACCAAAGCTTAGAAACGCATTACCTTTTCAGTTACGAAGCGAGCCCGTTATCATTCTGTAGAGGATTGCATCGTCGATTACCGGTCAAGGACGATCCTAGAGTGCCGACATAAGCGTTCGCGTTGTGGTGAATCCTCGTACCGTTAACGAAAGCAAACATGCGAGTGGCGAAAACGATTAACTGCATCTTCTGCGACATCGCCAAGGGCGTCACTCGGCCCGGCCGAGAGCCCACCACGCTCCTTCACAAGGTAATTCCTTCGTGGGAAGAGTCCGTTTCACCGCTCTAAAGTGAATTTAGACTATCTCATAGGTTCAATTTAAAGGGCTGCCGCGCGTTATGTCCTGTCACTGTTGATTTAAGGTCTAGATTTTGCAGGTGTTTTTGAGAATTCTAAAAAATACCCGTATCACGTTCTTGCATGACTCAGCATGGCGTGATATCATGATGTCAAGTGACAGTGTTCCCCGTTGCTTCTTGTGCAGAGCAGGATGACTCGTTAGTAGCATTCCCTGATATACGCCCGGCTGCTTTCAAGTAAGTCACAGCAATCCTGTGTGCACAGCCAGAAGGGGATTCATGGAAGAAGGGGAGAGATTGATTGATTGTCATTACTCGTCCTGTGTGTGTATGTGTGTCTGGTGTGTGCGCAAGCAAGTGAGTGCGCAAGCGAGTGTTGCTGTCGTTTTTATCAGCTGTGTGGTGACTCATTACCTGCCATCCCTTTCAGACTAGTGTCAGCAGCCATTATTGTAAGAGGTGGCTTTTGAGTCGACTCAAATGTCTCCTCTGCATTTTATGTGAGCAGTCAGCGGTTAAAGCCCACGTACCAGTCATATGTGTGTCTTCGCCCGTCTACCCAAAAGCGCCCTCCCACGGATTAGTCCTTCCCAGCCTGAACAGTCCAACAGTAATCTAGCCATGCCCTAGGGATTGTGTGCTCGTCCGGTGCAGGGTATTTTTGAGAATTCTCAAAAATACCCTGCAGGTTCAATCTGTGTGCGTGTGTGTGTGGGTGCTCGTCCGATGCAGGGTATTTTTTAGAATTCTCAAAAATACCCTGCAGGTTCAATCTGTGTGCGTGTGTGTGTGGGTGCTTGTCCGATGCCCGTGCATCCATGCATTCCCAAAAAAGGTCATCTCTATCGAACTTGTACCAACAGCCAACAATCTGCCAATTTTTTAGGCGCCTCAAAAAAGGTCATCTCTATCGAACACGTACCAACAGCCAACGATCTGCCCCCTGCCATTGTGTGACTGTCTCTGCGTGTATGTTATTGTTTCTCGTGCCCATGCAATCAGGCACATCCAAGTCATCCCTGTCGAGCACATACCAACAGTCAACGACTTAACCCCCTCTGAATCGCACCGCCAACTCGGTCAGTCTCTTGGATATTCACGCTGGGAAGCAGTTCAAATCATGCTAAGATGCTGGCTTGTATCCTCTTTCTAGAGTCTTGTCTCGCTCTATTGTCTCTGGATTGAGTTTTCATTCAAGCGTCGTAGCCTGGATGCACACTTGCCTTTCCTGTGCAGGTCAAGGTGCAAAAAAACGGCGTTTTTTACCTTTTTTGGCCGTTTAAAACGGAATCATATAAAACGGGATCGTATAAAACGGTCGTATAATACGATTGATACGGTCGAAAGTTGCATTTTGCATTTGGTGCAAAAAATCGGCCGTTTTATACGACCAATTTCTTCGTACCACGGTATAATACGGTGTACATTGTTTTTGGCCGAGCTAATAACGCATATCCGTGTTCAACATTTGTCAGTCGCGCAGTCGTTCAACTTTTAGTCAAGCCGCGACCTGACAAATTCTTGAAGCGCATGCATCCAAAATTTCTGGAGCCCAGAACAGAGCGCGAGTCCGTTTCGCAAATTTCGTCAGCCCATTTTCGCACCATGCCGCCCCTCTGATCCGAGCATCGCGCGGTAGGGCGAACATTTGAGAACATGCGATTCGAGATTTGTGATTTCGCGCAACCAATCATGTCATCTCGGGGTCCATCCCCCTCAACGAAATGGGATGTTATCCCTCTCAAAGCTCAGGTACAAACATCGAGCAGCTCCATAGCAGTGAGAATTAATGATCAGGCCACTTGTTTACGCGTCCTTAAAAAAAGGGGAAAAAAATCATGAAAAAGGGTCTAAAAAAAAAAAACGTCGTTTTTAACCAAAACCCACCGTTAAAAACGGCCGTTTAAAATGGACCGTTTAATACAGATGCCGTTTTTTTGCACCTTGCCTCCATTTGTGTTTCAGTAACTTTATTTCTTCCTTTTTTTTCTGGAATTGTATACGCATCATTTTTTTTTCCTGGATTCCAATGCCACTTTTGAGGCATGCTCCAACGTATCAGATGATTACGACATCTCTGGTTGTGCTTCTGCATTCTTCCCACCATCGCTCTATCCCCATGCTTTTATAACCCTCCCTTCCAGTCATTCCCCCCCCTACATGCAGTGGAGCGCATGCTTGCAGTGGCCTGGCAACTGATGAGATAGTGTGCGGTACTGGCGCCAATCTCGGTACTGGCGCCAATCTCGGTATTGGCGCCAATCTTACTGTTCGTCTTCCTTCCGCCCATCCCTGCCCAACTTGCTCTCCATTCTCCCCTCTCTTTCGTGCTAAATGCAGTGGAGCACATGCTTGCAGTGGGTCAGAAACTCTTGAGAGAGCATGCACCAGACGCTAAGGAATATCAGTGAGTCAATCAATAAGTAACTAGTAAGCCAAAAGAAAGGGTATGAGTTAGTCAGACTGCATGATCACTAATGTGTATGAGGCGCACAAAAAAAAATTGGCGCCTCTAAAATGGTTATTCGGGCCGCATGATGGCTAGTGAGTCAGACATGGTATGTTGGTTCCGCATGCCTTCTGTGCCCTGACCTCTCCGCTTTCAAGTCGACTCAAGAGCTGTGCCGTGGCCTCTCGTGTTCGCACGTTTGGCCATCATTCATAGACATCCTTTTTTCGTTTCTCGGCCTTCTCTTGCTTCGCCCTTTTGCTTGACTTTGCTCTTTCTGAGCCTCCCCACTCTCCTGTGTTCCCACCACTTTTTTCCTGCCCTACTTTCCCACTCCTCCAGCTTTGGCTTCTATCGCCCGCCTTTCAACAGTGTTGACCACCTGCACGGATCCACCTGCACTGCTTCGCTGTACAATCCCCCCTCTCCTCAGCATTTTGCGTCCCCCTCCTCTATCCCTGCCCACTCTCCTCCCCCCTCCAGCTTTGGCTTCCACCGCCCGCCGTTCAACAGCGTCGACCACCTGCACCTGCACTGCTTCGCCCTCCCTTTCAACTCGTGGTAAGAGGCAAGAAACGCTCCCTCCGTTTCCTCTGAACCCTCCTGTTCAGATGTGAAGGAAGAAAGTATGTACCAAGGAGAGACATGCCGATGATGCCTGGCCCTCGGTTTACATTTTTTATCGTGCGGGTTACTGAATTGTTGTCACCAATTGCATCGTCACCTGACTCAGTCGTCGTGTTCATAATTTGTCTTATGGCCTGTAGTGAGACCTGCTGTGTTCTCGTTGTTTCAGCCCCAAACATGAACATCAACAGGACGGGGTTGTGCAATGATTCGTTATCCTGTTTTTCGACTCGGTGGGCCGTTCCGTGTTTTACAGGTGGCATCAGCAAAAGTACACCCCTCGTCACTTTATTCCATTCTTCATGACACCAGATGCTCTCTTAGAGCGGTTGGGAAAGCCAGCAGGAATAGCCGAATGACTTAGTACGACTCTTCTAGTCCAAGGGCCCATCGGCAAATACACATTAAATTAATTCGTTCTAAGCTGCTCATACCGTAATTATGCAACATGCTCTCCGTTTTCAGTTAATTTTCATCTTGCTAGCACCTTCGTTTTCATAAGTTCACCACACCATGGAACATCGAGACTTGCACTTTCTAAACACTAACTCGTTTGTAGAGAAAAGGACATACCAGTATCGTGGATCAGGGACAATTCCGCATAGAATATTCCAGTCAGTCATAAGGGCGTGGTACATACAGTTCCGACTTGCCAATCACGGAACTGAGTTCCGACAACGACGCGGGACAATACGGACGAACATGGTGCACACTTTCTTGGTACATCCAGTTCCGAAACTCAAGACTGTCTGAAAATGTCACTTCGTACTGTTGTCAGGACGGTGGCGGCGGTGTTGTGAATTTTCAAAGCCACCCGAAATGGCGAGCAACACGAACATTGCGGAAAACCCCAACCAGAGTTACGCGAAACATCTGTCGCCACGCATCTCGACCATCGAGAAAGTGTTTTGGTTGCACGCGATTTTGGTTGTAGAAATTCGTCAGTGCAGTTTTGATTGGCCAATTCCGGAACCCTATGTACCACTCTATGTACCACGCCCTAAAACATACTGCTGACAGCCTAACGCCCGCCTTCTGACAACACCTAGGTACTCGCAACATTACGAAAATCTCAGCATCTGACGATCGGGCGGGCCTAGCGACATTCGTTATCCCGAACGTGCACACCGCGGCCCCTGCGCGAGCCCTGTGGCCCAGGCGTTACGAATCTATTTTTGAGGCGCCTCGAAAATAGACTCCTCTCGCCGGCGCTGGGTTATCCCGAGCGTGCTTTTGAGTTGACTGAAAAGCGGCGCTGGTCATCCTGAACGCTTTTGAGGCGCCTCAAAAGCACTGGAAAGCGGCGCTTGTCATCCCGAACGTGCACTGCGCGAGCCCTGTGGCACAGGCGTTTCGAATCGCGTCCCCATGGACCTTAGCGGCGACGGCGGCGTGGTGAAGAAGGTTCTCCGCGCCGCTAAGCCCGACGCGCTGCAGCCGTCCGATGCGTACCCGATCGCAGATGGTGCGTGCGTACCTCCGCGCGTTGCACGCTTCCCTGTTCGATCCTCCTGTATCCCCGCTATAAGCTACGGATGAGGTGCCTCTCCCCTCTCTCATTCCCCCCCCCCCCCCCCCCCCCCCCTTCCCTCCCCCTCCTCCCTCTCTCTTATTCCACTACGAAGGCAGGCAGGCAGTGGGGAGGTGCTCACATCACGCTCTCACTCCCTACCATGCTTTTGAGTCGACTCGAAACCTGCCTGTTTTACCTCCAATATCCCCTCCATAAATTGCTGATCAGGTGCCTCTCGCCTCTCGTTTCGTATTCCACCACGAGGGGAGGCCGACCAGTGGGGAGGTGCTCACATCTCGTCCGCTCTCCCAGAAACAATCCCTACCTTGTTCTTCCCCTCCCCCTCCCCACCTCCCTCCCTCCCCCCCTCCCCCTCCCCCCCTCCCCCCCTCCCCCTCCCCCCCTCCCCCCCTCCCCCTCCCCCCCTCCCCCCCTCCCCCTCCCCCCCTCCCCACTCTCATGATCCTTGACAGATCGATGGAGGACAATGTGGTTCGCACCTCTATTTTTCAAGCAGGCTCTACTACGACTTGTTGCTTAAGCGTTTATCACAGTTGCTGCCACGTGAAGACCTATGGCACCTAAGTGGTGTTCACCCCGCTCTCGTGTTCCTTGACAGATCGAGGGAATAGTCAAGAATAGTCACCTCCCGACTCAAGAATAGTCACCCCAAAACCTTGAATAGTCGCCTCAAGAATAGTCACCTCCCGCCCTTCCCCGCCGCTACCCCCACTTCCACGTGACTTATGAGTTTTGAGGTGCCTCAAAACTAGACTTTTGAGTCGACTCAAAAGTCGACTTTTGAGTTTTGAGGCGCCCCAAAACTAGACTTTTGAGTCGACTCAAAAGTCGACTTTTGAGTTTTGAGGCGCCTCAAAACTAGACTTTTGAGTCGACTCAAAAGTTGACTTCTGAGTTTTGAGGCGCCCCAAAACTAGACTTTTGAGTCGACTCAAAAGTCGACTTTTGAGTTGTGAGGCGCCTCAAAACTAGACTTTTTGAGTCAACTCAAAAGTCGACTTTTGAGTTTTGAGGTGCCTCAAAACTAGACTTTTGAGTCGACTTTTGAGTTTTGAGGCGCCTCAAAACTAGACTTTTGAGTCGACTCAAAAGTCGACTTTTGAGTTTTGAGGCGCCTCAAAACTAGACTTTTGAGTCGACTCAAAAGTCGACTTTTGAGTTTTGAGGCGCCTCAAAACTAGACTTTTGAGTCGACTCAAAAGTCGACTTTTGAGTTTTGAGGCGCCTCAAAACTAGACTTTTGAGTCGACTCAAAAGTCGACTTTCCCCGCCGCTACCCCCGCTTCCAGTGCACTACGAGGGGAGACTAGTTTTGAGGCGCCTCAAAACTACCCCCGCTTCCACATCCCCCTTCCCTTCCCCCTTGTCTCAGTGCACTACGAGGGGAGACTAGTTTTGAGGCGCCTCAAAACTACCCCCGCTTCCACATCCCCCTTCCCTTCCCCCTTGTCTCAGTGCACTACGAGGGGAGACTAGTTTTGAGGCGCCTCAAAACTACCCCCGCTTCCACATCCCCCTTCCCTTCCCCCTTGTCTCAGTGCACTACGAGGGGAGACTAGTTTTGAGGCGCCTCAAAACTACCCCCGCTTCCACATCCCCCTTCCCTTCCCCCTTGTCTCAGTGCACTACGAGGGGAGACTAGTTTTGAGGCGCCTCAAAACTAACCCCGCTTCCACATCCCCCTTCCCTTCCCCCTTGTCTCAGTGCACTACGAGGGGAGACTAGTTTTGAGGCGCCTCAAAACTAACCCCGCTTCCACATCCCCCTTCCCTTCCCCCTTGTCTCAGTGCACTACGAGGGGAGACTAGTTTTGAGGCGCCTCAAAACTAACCCCGCTTCCACATCCCCCTTCCCTTCCCCCTTGTCTCAGTGCACTACGAGGGGAGACTAGTTTTGAGGCGCCTCAAAACTAACCCCGCTTCCACATCCCCCTTCCCTTCCCCCTTGTCTCAGTGCACTACGAGGGGAGACTAGTTTTGAGGCGCCTCAAAACTAACCCCGCTTCCACATCCCCCTTCCCTTCCCCCTTGTCTCAGTGCACTACGAGGGGAGACTAACCAGTGGAGAGGTGTTTGACAGTTCCAGGGAGGATAATGCGGTGTTTACATTTGAAGTGGGGAAGGGCAAGGTGATCCGCGGATGGGACATCGGCGTCAAGAGCATGAAGGTGCGTTGCTATGAATAAGAGCTCGTCCATCCACCAGTTTTAGTGGTATCTGGTAATACGGCTCGTCCATCCTTGCGTCAGGAAGGGCAAGGTGTTCCGTGCATGGGACATCGGCGTCAAGTGCACGAAGGTGCGAGTGGTGCTTCGAAAAGCTTTCAAAATCTTAGGTGCAGCGTGAAGTCAACGACTGTTTCTACTGGAGTGGGGAAGGGAAGGGCAAGGGCAAGGGCAAGGTGATACGTGCATGCATGGGACATCGGTGTCAAGAGCATGAAGGTGCGAGAGGAGCTTTTTACTTCTCTGCTGGTGGTGCTACTTTGTGCATTGCTGCATGTGACGCATTACCTTCATCTCTCTACTGTTCTGCGGTGTTATCTCATTCTAAAGTCGTTATGACTTCTCTTGCTGACGTCAGGTGGGTGAGCTAGCAGAGCTGACGTGCCAATCAGACTACGCGTATGGGGATGCCGGCTCGCCTCCAGAGATCCCTTCAGGGTAAGGCCAAGCATGCCTGGATTTCTCCATGCCCGGATATCTCCATGCCTGGATATCTCCATGCCTGGATATCTCCATGCCTGGCTGGATATATCCATGCCTGGATATCTCCATGCCTGGCTGGATATCTCCATGCCTGGATATCTCCATGCCTGGATATCTCCATGCCTGGATATCTCCATGCCTGGATATCTCCATGCCTGGATATCTCCATGCCTGGATATCTCCATGCCTGGATATCTCCATGCCTGGATATCTCCATGCCTGGATATCTCCATGCCTGGATATCTCCATGCCTGGATATCTCCATGCCTGGTTATCTCCATGCCTGGATATCTCCATGCCTGGATATCTCCATGCCTGGATATCTCCATGCCTGGATATCTCCATGCCTGGCTGGATATCTCCATGCCTGGCTGGATATCTCCATGCCTGGCTGGCTGGATATCTCCACGCCTGGATATCTCCATGCCTGGATATCTCCGTGCCTGGATATCTCCGTGCCTGGATGTCTCCGTGCCTGGATGTCTCCGTGCCTGGATGTCTCCGTGCCTGGATGTCTCCATGCCTGGATATCTCCGTGCATGCACCCATGTTCCATTTTCGTCCTTGTCCTCTTCCCCTCTGTACGCCACCCTGTTTTTAAGAATCCCCCCACTCGTCGCTTTCTGTGGTTTTTCGACCCCCCTTTTGCGCTTCGCTTCCTCCAACCCCTCCTTCACCCCAAATCCTCCTCCTCCTCTTCTCTTTCTGTGCATGCAGTGCAAACATGTCTGCGTCCTCCTCCTTTTCAAAACAGCCCAAAGGAAGCCCTCCTCATTTTGTCCTCCCTCTGTCGCCTCTCCACCACCCACCGCTTTCTCGCATCTCTCTTCTTTTCATTGGTCCACGTGGCAGTGCTACATTGGTCTTTGAAGTGGAGCTGATGGCAGTGCGACCGCCCAGAGGATCCGTCGCCACTGCTGCTGCTGAGAAGGGCCGGCTAGAGTGAGTCATTCTTATTGGGGCACAGACGCGTGTTTTAGTACGCACTGCTGCTGCTGAGAAGGGTCGGCTAGAGTGAGTCATTCTTATTGGGGCACAGACGAGTGTTTTAGTACGCACTGCTCCTGCTGAGAAGGCCCGGCTAGAGTGAGTCATTCTGATTGGGGCATAGATGCGTTTTAGTACGCACTGCTGCTGCTGAGAAGGGCCGGCTAGAGTGAGTAAAGTCCCCGCCTGGTAAACAGCAAGTGAAGTGAGTGATAAAATTGAGTCTCGAGTGGGTTGGAGAAGCGGAGGATGAGAAGAAGGTATCAGGCCCTTTTTTTCCATGTCTCCCGTGTATGCATTGTGCCCCGATGGTAGCAATCAGCGCGCACCATTTATTGCATGCAGCACAACCCATAGCACATACACACACTGGCATCCGTAACATCTTCAAGACATTTGTTCCTTTGTCTCACTGCTGTCCCCCAACGCACAGCTCTTCCCATTCCTTTTGCAGCGGGTTTTGAGACGTCTCAAAACTACTTCTATCCTTGCCTCACCACATCCCCCCCCTAGGCACATATCTTCCCATACGCTTCCCAGTGAGTTTTGAGACGTCTCAACTAATTTTTTATCCTATGTCCCTCCACGGCCCCCCCCAACATACATCTCGTCCCATCCATACTTCTTCCAAGTGAGTTGAGAGCTGAGAGGGAGTCAGCAGCAGACTCTTGAGTCGACTCAGCAGTCCATCTCATCCATCTCGTCCCCTCACTTACCTACACCTCTTCCCATACCCTTTGCAGTGAGTTGAGAGCCGAGCGGGAAGCAGCCGCAGCAAGGAGAGAGGAGGAGAAGAAGAAGAGGGAAGAGGCTAAAGCCGCTGCAGCAACTAGGGCAGCTCAGCTAAGCGCCAAAGGCTCTGGGAAAGGAGGAGGGAAAGGTGGAAAGGGGAAGAAGAAATGATATTACCACCTCCTGCTCAATGATCCGGGGAATATGAGCAATTTTTTAGTGACAGAAATTTTACAGATGGTGATTCGATTTGAAGGAGTTTGTCTTAGAATAGCAGAATGAGTTAGAAAGAATGGTACACGGTAGTTTTGACCTAGTGTGTTGTACTCTTTAAGGCATGCCCCTATCCAGGCTATAATAACATATACAAATATGTTTGACACACCCCTTAGACTGGACAAGGGGCAGTGCTTGACAAGAGACAAGCAACTCAAGGTGGCACTACTAGTCCAACCTCTGAGACAAGGGTCCAAAGACCAGTCAACAAGAGTACAAGCCAAGGCGGCACTACAAGTCCGGCCACTGGAAGAAAAGCCATAAGGCCAATCAAGAAGATATATATAAAGAGAAGTACACAATCAAGGTCCTAGCAAGTGAGGAGCTACAGGAACTAGACCAAGCTGCTGATGATCTTTAGGCGCAAGCACCCTAGTAAAGACATCAGCTGTATTGGCACCGGGGGCCAAGTGTACTATGCGGGCCTGGCGGCACTGCTGTAGCTCACGCAGGAGGAAGTACCGAAGCTGGATGTGCTTTGCTCTGCCCTCAAGTCGAGGCTCCTGATACAGGAGGATCATGGCCCTGTTGTCATCGTACAGGACCGGGGCACAGCTAGTCCGCTCACCTAAGTCGGTGCGCAAGAAGGTCAGCCAGCGGAGCTCCTGTGTCGCCATGGCACCGGCATCGATCTCGGCCTTGCAGCTAGACTGAGCAACAGACGATGAGCGGGTGGACCTCCACGAGATGGCACCTGAACCAAGGCTAAAACAGTAGCCCTGGGAGGACCGGAGGGTCTCAGCGTCGTCTGCCCAAGAAGCATCTGTGTGCCATGTAAGAACCACTGGCCTGCGTCCTCCTAGCATAGGCCCCATGCCTGATGTACTTGCTAGATAACGCAAAACCCTCTTAGCCGCTGACCAGTGCTGTGGTCGGTGTCTCCCAATGGCCACAAAACTAGCCAGGATGCTGAGAGGGTATGCGAGATCTGAACGAGTGCAAGTCATCAGGTACATGAGGCAACCCACCAGCTCTGCGTAAGGACAATTAGGCTCTACTGACTCCTCAGGAATTGGAGCAGAGAGCTTGTGGTCTATAGGCAGAGGTGTGGGCTGTGCAGAGGAGAACACAGGACCGAACCGCTGAAGGACCTGGCGCACCAAGTGTGACTGTGTGAGAGTGATGGTGCGCACTGCTCTGTCCTTGGAGATCTGCAGGCCAACTCCACTCCCTCGCGCTGACTGAAGCCTCTGGCAACGTAGCGCACCTTGAACACAGGCGGCTCTCCAGGGGGGCGCTTCACCTTGAAGAGCCACCGGCCATCGACTACGTTCACCCCAGGTGGGGGAACTACGTCGACGAAGGTGCCGGTGGATCTCCAAGATGCCATCTCCTGCTCCATGGCAGCTATCCACTGAGAAGCCCAGGGTCCCGAGGTCACCTCAGCGTAAGTGCGCGGGGTCGGGATGTTAGGGGCGTCTAGGTCACCATCAGGGACTAGCAGTATGGAATAGAAATGGGAGCGGCCTCAGACAGGAAAGCAAACTCGTACTGCCTGTCCTCTAGGACGTCACTGCCAAGGGCAGGAGCACCCTCGACGGACGGAGGGCAGGCTGGGCCAGAGACCAGAGCTGTGGCATAGTCAAGGCGGCGGATAGGGGCGAATTCAGCGATAACATCGATAAGAGCGTCAAGACGGGAGACAGGAACAGACAGGTCGGTAACGAGGGAGGCAAGGACCAGAGGAACAAGAGGACTAGTGGCACGAATGTAGTCTGACAGAGGAGGCGGAGCAACAACGAGCGACGACGGAGGAGGCGAGGGAAGGAGGGGAGGACGAGACGCATGGGAATGAAGCAACATGGGGTGAGAGCGCTGGACAGGAGAGACAGGACGAGCACGAGACCAACGGCGACACCAGAAGTGGGACGGAGGCATGGGGTCAGGAGACTCAGGAGGAGTAACAGGAGGAGAACAAGAAACAAGAGGACTAGCAGTACAAAGGTAGTTAGACAAAGGAGGCGGAGCAACAACGAGCGACAACAGAGGAGGCGAGGGAAGGAGGGGAGGACGAAACGCGTGGGAATTAAGCAATATCGGATGAGAGCGCTGGACAGGAGAGACAGGACGAGCACGAGACGGACGAGGAGACCAGAAGTGGGACAGAGACGTGGGGTCAGGAGACACTGGAGGAGTAACAGGAGAAAAACGAGGGGGGAAACGAGCCGGAGGCGAGTCCGGCGGAGGAAAGAAAGGGCCGTAGACAGGCAGGGGAGGCGGCGGTAAGGGCAGCGCAGGCGGGTGATCAGGGGAGGGAAGGCCGAGCAGGCGAAGGGCGGACACTGGCGGCAACTGCCGCTGTTGCTGCTCCACGCCGACACCAGCTGCACCATGGGTACTTCCGGAATGCTCCACTCCAGCACCCCCAGAACGAGAACCCTCTCCAGCACCGGTGCCACCACTGAGACCGCCGGGACAAGCCACGAAAGTAACCGCAGGAATAGTAACCCCAGAACCAACACCCCTAGAACGAGAACCCTCTCCAACACCGTTGCCACCCCCAGAAGCGCCGGCACAAGCCATGGCAGGAACCCCAGGAGTAGCACCCTCCTCAACGCCCGCACCCCTGGAGCCAACTGACAGTTGTTGCTGCGGCGGGTGCGGGAGCGGCTGCTGCTACGGCTGGGACGGTGACTGCTGGTGCGGCGGTGATTGCGGATGCTGCGACGGTGAAGGAGGTGACACCGGGGGAGAAACAGGCGGCGAGAACTGCGCTGTGGGGCCACCAGAGTGAGCCGACTCCTCGAGCAGGACAACCGACGGAAGGGGAGTGACATGAGACACACCAGACGGAACAGGACGGGGAGGGAGGTAAGCAGGGGCTACCGGGGGAGTGGGTACCAAAAACAGGGGCGGGGAAACCGGGAGTCCTTGGTGAGGAAAGCATTGGTAGAAGGAGAAAGACTCGTCGAAAGTGACATCACGTGAGTGAAAGAAGTGGTGAGACGGCGGGTGGTAAAAGTGCCAGTCAGATGAGTCAAGGGGGAAACCTAGGAAGACAAAGGGGACAGTGCGGGGAGTGAACTTGTTAGTGCCAGAGGAACAAACGTTAGCAAGCCAGCCCCAGACATGGAACGCGGACACGTCACCATGTATCTCGGTCCAGAGAGGGGTCGGCAAAACCTGAGGCCGCTGAGAGTGCGACCACAGGTTAAGCTGGTGGGCGGCGTAGCGAATGGCGAACGGCCACAGAAAATGGGGTGCACCTGCAAGGATCATGGAGGTACGAGCCACCTCAATGACCAAGCCAATGCGTCGCTCAGCGACCCCATTCTGCTGTGGGGAGTCCGGCAGGGTGTTCTGAAGTTTGCTCTCTATGCTTTAAACTATTTGTCATGTTGTACTTCTTGTATATCTTTTGGGGTGTGAGTTTGATCCAATGTTCTATTCTTCATCCAAGAATAGTACATAATGGATGCTCCTACATAAGAACGCACGAGCATCCATTATGTGCCCCTCCCAAATCCTACCACTATTAAATATTAAGGCTTAATATAAAATGGTCTTAAAGCCTAAAACCCAATTAAACATACAGACACTTGTTTTCGTCACTGTAGTTACGCATTGGCGTTACGCGACTCCCAGACAAAGCGGGCGAGCTCAGCCGCTATGAAAGCCTTACGCTCAGCAGGCGAGGCAGCGTCAGCAAGGACAGCAAGTGTGGGGGGGCAGGGCAGCTTACCGTCAACATGGGCGGCCAGAGACTGGCCGTCCTAGCGCTGACCCTTAAGCTGACGGCGCAGGTTGGCGAGCCACGCTTGGAAGTCCACCGTACGACCCTCTGCGCCCGGGCGGAGGAGAGCGTCCGCCATCGCGCACATCTGCGACAGCTGGAGGGCATTGGAGGAGGACCAAGGAGCTGGCGGGTGCGGTGTAGTATGGTGGAGAGCGGTGGAGTGCGGTGGAGAGCGGTGAAGTGCACTGGAGAATGGTGGAGTGCAGTGGAGCGAGGTGAGGTGCAGGAGCACGCACGACCGGCGAGAGCAGCGATGCAGAGGAGAGACTAGGGTCGGCTCTGAGTTGGGGCCGGTGGCGAGCAGGGGCCGACGGCGAGCAGTAGGGGCCGGCGCAGCTGGCAGGAGCCGACACAGCTAGTAGGGGCCGACGCGGCGAGTAGAGGCTGGCGCGGCGAGCTAGGGGTCATTGCGATAAGCTGGGGCCAGGGCGGATGTGAGAGTACGACCCCGTTCCATTCCTTTCTCCTTTCCATCTCCCCTTTCCATTTCATTCCTCTTTTTATCCTGATTCATTTGGTATTTACCTCATTCCATTTGGATTCTTATTCCTCCTTTTCCATCATCCTTTGGTTTATCGTGTTATTATCATTATATCACCGACCAGGCTCAGGATGTACTGGCACGCTCTATCCAGCGTAATCCTGCCGTAATCCTTTAAAGCCAATAGCCTCGCGTGGCTATACGCAGGGTGATTCTATTTTCTAGAAGGGTCTATTCCCTTGGGATAGGATAGACCTGGCTACCTGATGTACTTTGGAAGTATAAAAGCACCTTGTATCAATCGATAGTGCAACCTTTCCTCGACACATTCGATCCTGTGACAGCGGAGAGGAGAGGCTGGCACGGCGAGCTGGGGCTATCGCGACGAGTAGGAGCCGATGACGAGCTTAGGGACAGCATGGTGAGGACATGCCGGCACGACGAGCTGGAGCCGGTACAGCGAAGAGGGGTCAGCGACGAGCTGGGGGCGACGGCGAGCTGGCGCCGATGCGACGAACAGAGGCCGACGCAGCTGGCAGGAGCCGGCGCGGCAATCTAGGGGCCAGCGCAGCGCGGCGAGCTAGGTACTGCGGCAACCTAGGGGCCAGCGCGGCGCAACGAGCTGAGGTCGACGTGATGAGCAGAGGGCTAGCGCAGCGCGGCGAGCTAGGGGCCAGCGCGGCGAAGCGTGCTGGGGCCGAAGCGATGAGCAGAGGGCCAATGCGGCGAGCTAGGGCCAGCGCGGCGAGTTAAGGCCAGTGCGGCGCGGCAAGCTAGGGCAGGCGCGGCAGGCTAGGGCAGGAGCGCGCTAAGGGCAGTGCGTTGGGTGCTCTAAGGCGGGGCGCTCAAAGGGGTGGGGCGCTCGAAGGCGGGGCGCTCTACGTTAGGCGAGGGCGTAAGTGCGGATGGATGGGACCTACCTAGCGTGATACCATGTCAGAGTAACGAAGTGAACTCCAGGAAGCCATACAGGGGGATATGTAGGTTGGGGTGTTGTACACTCGTTGACACTGAACCTGATTGACTGTAGTTTGAACGATACTGAATACTCAAGTCGCATTTTGACAATTGCGACAATCCGACATGGGAGGTTGCACTGGTAGTCGTGCATGAGCGAGGCTTTGTCACCAAGTGACAGTGCTCATAGTGGGTTTTCCCTTTCAATGTCCCTCTTGCCAAGGTTTGACCGTTTCCTATTTTGAGGCTGGCGTGCAAAAACCGTGGGATTCAATAGGGAATAAAAAGAAGGAATCCCCCATTGCTCTCCCCTTTTGATGCTAGTACATATTTTTCCCTCTACTGTCTCACCCGGAACAGTCCAATTTTCAATCCCACCCACCAGGCTCTCAGCATGACTCGCATTTACATTAAACATAATTGACTTCAGTCTGAACGATAGCAAACAGTCAAGTCGCATTTCAACAATTGGGAGAATTCGAGCTAGGAGGTTGTACTAGCAAATTATATGGTCCATGAGTGAGACTTTGTAACCAAGTGAGAGTGTTTAATACGTGTTTTCTCCTTCAATATCCCGTTTGCCAGCGTTTGACCGTTTCCTGCTTACCAGCTCAAACCGCGTGAAAAGGCCGTGGGGTCCAATAGGATAAATGGTGTGCTGTAGCCCCTGTCTCGCAGCAACCGCAGAGGAGAGCCATGCGCGAAGGGAGCATCGCATCGTTCATATCGTCCTCAGGGCACGTCCAAATAGTTCGATTGTGGTTTTTGGACACATTTTACGGACTTGGAAAAAAAGCTGAAAACGATCCCAAAATTGTTTCCCGGCAAACCACGTCCCGTATTGCGAATTAAAACCCGGGTTCAGGTTTTCTTTGTTTTGCAAATGAAAGCCCCTGCCGATGCGATTGGATTACGAGGGACGAAATTCTCAAATCCGTCAACTCGATTGGCGGCACGCCATGGCGGCGCCTCGACTCCCCGCATCCCTCGCCGCGCTTGCCGCTGCATCTGCCGCCGGATTCGCGACCGCAATCGCCGTTCTCGTCCTCTCGCGTCCGCTCCACTCGCTGCCGTCGATCCTCCACTCAATTCTCCTCCGCATCCTGCGCCGCATCTTACGCAGGTTTCTCCCTAGCTTCAGATTACTCGATTACACACGATCCGTCCCCTCGTCGTGTTTAGAGGCGTCTTTAAACTCGTCGCTCCCATCGTCCTCCTATCAGAATGCACCCGCCCCGTCTCAAGGCGGCCTCGATATGGACGGCTGCGATGAAAAGAACCCTGACGCTTTTGTAATAGCCTCCCCAGTAGCTGCGACTGGCCTTGCGATCCCTGCGAACTCTGCGACCGCTGCGACCCCTGCGACCCTGGCGACTGTGCGTCAAAACCGCGACGGACTGGTAGCGGCGATCGGCAACACGCCGCTGATTCGCATCGCGAGTTTGTCCGCCGCGACTGGGTGCGAGATCTACGGCAAGGCGGAGCTCGTCAATCCCGGGGGGAGCGTCAAAGACCGTGTGGCTCTTCGTATTGTGCAGGAGGTGCGTTTCGTATCGTGATGAACTGGGCTCTGAGGTGAAATTTAACCTGCCAGGAAGTCAGGCCGACTGGATGCGAGATCTACGGCAAAGCGGAGTTCGTCAACCCCGGGGGGGGCGTTAAAGGCCGCGTCGCATTGAGGATTGTGCAGGAGGCACACCTTAATCTGATGTATCCCTAGCTGCGCCCGCTGCGTGATAGTAGTCTAGCTTTGAGGGGCGCCACAAAACTGGAGGTATACCCAGGTGTGTGTTGAGTCGTCCCAAAACATACCTTAAACTCATGTGTCCCTTACTGCGCCCGCTGCGCCCCCGCTTTCCTTCGCTTTCCTTCGCTTTCCTTCGGTTTCCTTCGCTTTCCTTCGCTTTCCTTCGCTTTCCTTCGGTTTCCTTTGCTTTCCTTCGCTTTCTTTCGCTTTCCCCTCCCCATCGTCCTCCGTATCCTTCCCTCTCTCCTCTAAAGGTCCCCCGTTTTCCTCCCCTTCATTCGTCAGGCCTGAGAGTCGGGGCAGCTCCAAACCCGGATGTTTGATAATGGGCAAATTCCCACCTTTCCTCCCCTTTCCAACTCCCAAAAACCTTTTTTGACAATTCTTTCCCGTCCCTCCCTGTTTCGTCAGGCCCTCGAATCCGGGCAGCTGAAACCCGGAGGTTTGATAACGGAGGGCAGTGCGGGCAGCACAGGTGTCGCGCTCTCATTGGTCGCTGCTGCGTTCGGCTGCCGCTGCTTCGTGGCCATGCCAGATGATGCTGCGGTGGAGAAGGCGGAAGCCATGAGAGCCCTCGGTGCAGAGGTATATTTAGTGGCTAACGGTTCAGGGTTTCGGGTTTGGGGTCGTGGTATGCTGTGGTATGTGGGTCAATGGGTCTGCCGCTGTTCTGTGACCATGCCGGACGATGCTGCTGTGGAGAAGGCGGAATCGATGAGGGCACTGGGTGCAGAGGTATGCTTAGGGGGATGAGGATTAAGGTTTCGGGTTTCGGGTACGTTGTGGCATGTGGGTGTATTGATTGCTTGTTGCTTCGTGGCCAGCCATGCCGGACAATGCTGCTGTGGAGAAGGCAGAATCCACGAGGGCTTTAGGGGCAGAGAGGTATGTGCAAGAATATCTGGACCTGGCTGGTTTGATGGTCGAGGGTTTAGCGTTCATATGCATCAGCATTATTTAGCGTCTGAAAAGTGTGAGCCGGCAATCAAGCGCTTTGTTGCAAGTTCGGCTGGACGATGCTGCTGGGGATACTGCAGAGTCGATGAGGGGTTTAGGGGCAAATGCACTTGCACCAAGGTATGGTTGCTGGTCGAGGGTTTTAGCGTTTAGTGGGGGGCAATCGTGTTCTTTGCTAGTGGCGAGTTCGGCTGGACGATGCTGCTGTGGAGAATGCAGAGTGATTACGGCTTTACGGGCAGAGGTATGTGCAGAGAGGCTAGGATATAGGATCCAGGGTTGAAGTTAGGGTGGCTGAGGGTTTAACGTTTAGGGTGTAGGAGCTGCCAAATTCTGCCACACTTCGCTTGCTCCCTCCTCCCCTCCTCCTCGATGCCCTCCCTTTCTCAGGTGATGCAAGTGCGTCCAGTGTCCATCATCCATCCCATGCACTTTATCAACGTGGGAGGTGCACAAAATGCACAAAATGCACAAAATGCGCAAAAGGCACCCAGTGTCCAGTGCAAGGAGAGCACGTACAATCGTTTGCTTTGCTGAAATTCCCCTTACCGCCCCCCCCCCCCCCCTCCTCCTTCCCTGGATCCCTCTCCCTCTCTCCCTTTCTCAGGTGGTGCGAGTGCGTCCAGTGTCCATCACCCATCCCATGCACTTCGTAAACGTCGCAAAGAGAAGAGCCGAGGAGGAGAGTGGCAAGGGGCGAGGGATGGCCGGAGCAAAGAACGGGAGGAGTGAGAGCAGTTGTAGGTATTCCTGCTGCTTCTTTCGCCTACATGCATGGTGAAATAGCTTAGTTTTGAGACGTCTCAAACCTAAACCAAGGAGTGGGAGCAGTTGTAGGTATTCCTGCTGCTGCTTTCCCTGTCAGACACCCCTTTTGTCTACACCTCTCCGTGCCCACCTGTTGGATCATAACCTTGCACTGATGAATGCCGATTTTGGTGTCGGATAATCGCTATACAAATGCCCTCGTTTCTGTGTTGTCTGCTTATATTGGTTCTGCCATCGTTGTTGTTTGCTATTTTTTAGAATTCTAAAAAATCGTTGTTGTTTGCTTAGACCCGTTCTCTTTTTTGAGAATTCTCAAAATCATCCGTGCTCCTTCCTCATGCCACGTCCTTCCTTCTCCTCCCCGCACGCCCCCCTCGTTCTCTCGTCTGATCTGCGAATCGGAGGAGCGCGGCGTGGAGGCTTTCTCTCATTCTCACATCCGTGCTCCTTCCTCATCATCCCGCACTCCTTCCACCTGCTTGTTCTTTTGACTCCGATTCTCCTCCCTCCTCACTCTCCTCTCTTGAATGAGTGTGTTTGCCTCCTTTTCCTTTCTCACCTCCATATCTCCTCCGTGTCTCTCCTCTCTGATTCTGTTTCTCTGTTTCCGCCTATCTGCCTCCCTTCCTTCTACCCATCTGCAGTGCCGTCACCAACGGTACCAATGCCACAACTGCCAGTAGTGCCACCACCACTGCTGCCACCAACACACATGCTACCAGTAGCAGTCGGAGCAGCAGTATCACCAGGGACACCGACCATACATGCTGCGACGGCAGCATAAGCGGTACCACTATCACTAAGAGATGTGTCGCCAGAATCAGCAACGACGCCAGCTGTGCTGCCAGCCATCTAAGTTCCCCCGGGGAGGAGGAGACTGCAGCGAGTGGCTGTGGCAGCGGTGGTCACGCTAGTAGCTCCGGCAGCAGTGGCCGCACTGCCAGCACTGGTAGTGTCGCCGATGCTCCTGAAAGCAGCAGCAGCAGCAGCGGGTTCTTTGCGGACCAGTTTGAGAATCTGGCGAATTACCGCGCGCATTACTTTGGCACGGGCCCGGAGATCTGGAGGCAAACGGATGGGAGGGTGGATGCCTTTGTGGCCGCTGCTGGCACTGGTGGCACCCTCGCTGGTGTTTCCTGCTATCTCAAAGTAAGTGTGTTGCATCAAAGTGAATTGGTTGTATCGGAGTATTTTGTAGGTTCTCGATTTCAGATGGCTGGATGGCAGTGTGGCTAATCTTGTCATTACTTCTGGGGCTGGTAGAACAATTGCTCGTGACCAACTTTATCAGTTTTTTTTTTTTTTTTTTTTTTTTTCACATGAGCTGTGTTATTTATACAGCATCACCCACTTGTGCGAGCACGACCCCTTGACACAACCTTTTCCCAACAGTGAGTGCCTTTCTTATTGACCCAACTGGGTCAAGACTCTTGCAGGCAGGACGCGGAGGGCAAGTGGTTGCGCAACCCTTTTGACACTATCTTTTCCGTCATACACTTTGTCCCACACGAAATCCAGCAGTGACGGCCTTTCTGATAGTCCCCCCTGGTTCAAGCCTGTTTCATCAAGTTACCCGGGGAGGGGAGTGCTGCAAACACGGCAGGAGGCAGAGCGCAAGCGCCTGTCAGACTGAGTCGATGTCCTCTTTCTGTCTTCTTTCTGTCTTCCTAACCTGTCCCAACCCGGCTCCAGGAGCAGAATCCAGCAGTGAAGGCCTTTTTGATAGACCCTCCTGGGTCGAGCCTATTCCATAAAGTGACAAGAGGAGTGCTGTACACGCGGCAGGAGGCGGAGGGCAAGCGCCTGCGCAACCCCTTTGACACGATCACGGAGGGCATTGGCATCAACCGGCTGACAGCTAACTTCAATGTGGCGCGGATCGATGGGGCGTTCAGAGGGACGGATAGGGAGGCTGTTGAGATGGCGCGGTGAGTGGGCGTGGGAGTGTGTGAGAGTGTGTGAGAGTGTGTATGTCTCTCTCTCGCTCGCTCGCTCTCTCCCGCCCTCGGTGTCTGTGTCCCTGTGCATGCATGCGTGTGTGTGCTTGGCTGCGCAACCCCTTTGATACGATCACGGAGGGCATCGGCATAAACCGGCTGACAGCTAACTTCAATGCGGCGCAGATCGATGGGGCGTTCAGAGGGAGAGAAGCCCGGCCACTCGTGAGCTGCCATGAACTGCGTTGCTGCCAGCCATGCAACTGCAAGTGGCAGAGAAGCCCGGCCACTCGTGAGCTGCCATGAACTGCGTTGCTGCCAGCCATGCAACTGCAAGTGGCAGAGAAGCCCGGCCACTCGTGAGCTGCCATGAACTGCGTTGCTGCCAGCCATGCAACTGCAAGTGGCAGAGAAGCCCGGCCACTCGTGAGCTGCCATGAACTGCGTTGCTGCCAGCCATGCAACTGCAAGTGGCAGAGAAGCCCGGCCACTCGTGAGCTGCCATGAACTGCGTTGCTGCCAGCCATGCAACTGCAAGTGGCAGAGAAGCCCGGCCACTCGTGAGCTGCCATGAACTGCGTTGCTGCCAGCCATGCAACTGCAAGTGGCAGAGAAGCCCGGCCACTCGTGAGCTGCCATGAACTGCGTTGCTGCCAGCCATGCAACTGCAAGTGGCAGAGAAGCCCGGCCACTCGTGAGCTGCCATGAACTGCGTTGCTGCCAGCCATGCAACTGCAAGTGGCAGAGAAGCCCGGCCACTCGTGAGCTGCCATGAACTGCGTTGCTGCCAGCCATGCAACTGCAAGTGGCAGAGAAGCCCGGCCACTCGTGAGCTGCCATGAACTGCGTTGCTGCCAGCCATGCAACTGCAAGTGGCAGAGAAGCCCGGCCACTCATGAACTGCCATGAACTGTGAAATGGGCGCGCATCATCACCGGCCTCCCCCCGTCACACCCCTTCTTTCACTCTCTGTGTGCCCCAGATACTTTCTGTATAACGACTGCTGTGGTAGATTTTGGAGATGTCTCAAATACCTAACATGGTCTATTTGTGGGCTCATCTTCAGGCATCTTCAGGCATCTTCAGGCATCTTCAGGCATCTTCAGGCATCTTCAGGCATCTTCAGGCATCTTCAGGCATCTTCAGGCATCTTCAGGCATCTTCAGGCATCTTCAGGCATCTTCAGGCATCTTCAGGCATCTTCAGGCATCTTCAGGCATCTTCAGGCATCTTCAGGCATCTTCAGGCATCTTCAGGCATCTTCAGGCATCTTCAGGCATCTTCAGGCATCTTCAGGCATCTTCAGGCATCTTCAGGCATCTTCAGGCATCTTCAGGCATCTTCAGGCATCTTCAGGCATCTTCAGCCATCTTCAGGCATCTTCAGCCATCTTCAGGCATCTTCAGCCATCTTCAGGCATCTTCAGCCATCTTCAGGCATCTTCAGCCATCTTCAGGCATCTTCAGCCATCTTCAGCCATCTTCAGCCATCTTCAGCCATCTTCAGCCATCTTCAGCCATCTTGAGCCATGAACTGCATTGGCGCCGCGCTGGCAGGGAAGCTGAGCCGCTGGGCCCTGGGCACACACCCTGAGCGTCGACCCGATCTCCCTAAAAGTCACATGTTCCTACCAGGCACCTTTTGAGTCAACTCAAAAGTCACATGTTCCTACCAGGCACCTTTTGAGTCAACTCAAAAGTCACATGTTCCTACCAGGCACCTTTTGAGTCAACTCAAAAGTCACATGTTCCTACCAGGCACCTTTTGAGTCAACTCAAAAGTCACATGTTCCTACCAGGCACCTTTTGAGTCAACTCAAAACTCACATGTTCCTACCAGGCACCTTTTGAGTCAACTCAAAAGTCACATGTTCCTACCAGGCACCTTTTGAGTCAACTCAAAACTCACATGTTCCTACCAGGCACCTTTTGAGTCAACTCAAAAGTCACATGTTCCTACCAGGCACCTTTTGAGTCAACTCAAAAGTCACATGTTCCTACCAGGCACCTTTTGAGTCAACTCAAAAGTCACATGTTCCTACCAGGCACCTTTTGAGTCAACTCAAAAGTCACATGTTCCTACCAGGCACCTTTTGAGTCAACTCAAAAGTCACATGTTCCTACCAGGCACCTTTTGAGTCAACTCAAAAGTCACATGTTCCTACCAGGCACCTTTTGAGTCAACTCAAAAGTCACATGTTCCTACCAGGCACCTTTTGAGTCAACTCAAAAGTCACATGTTCCTACCAGGCACCTTTTGAGTCAACTCAAAAGTCACATGTTCCTACCAGGCACCTTTTGAGTCAACTCAAAAGTCACATGTTCCTACCAGGCACCTTTTGAGTCAACTCAAAAGTCACATGTTCCTACCAGGCACCTTTTGAGTCAACTCAAAAGTCACATGTTCCTACCAGGCACCTTTTGAGTCGACTCAAAAGTCACATGTTCCTACCAGGCACCTTTTGAGTCGACTCAAAAGTCACATGTTCCTACCAGGCACCTTTTGAGTCGACTCATAAGTCACATGTTCCTACCAGGCACCTTTTGAGTCGACTCAAAAGTCACATGTTCCTACCAGGCACCTTTTGAGTCAACTCAAAAGTCACATGTTCCTACCAGGCACCTTTTGAGTCGACTAAAAAGTCACATGTTCCTACCAGGCACCTTTTGAGTCAACTCAAAAGTCACATGTTCCTACCAGGCACCTTTTGAGTCAACTCAAAAGTCACATGTTCCTACCAGGCACCTTTTGAGTCAACTCAAAAGTCACATGTTCCTACCAGGCACCTTTTGAGTCAACTCAAAAGTCACATGTTCCTACCAGGCACCTTTTGAGTCAACTCAAAAGTCACATGTTCCTACCAGGCACCTTTTGAGTCAACTCAAAAGTCACATGTTCCTACCAGGCACCTTTTGAGTCAACTCAAAAGTCACATGTTCCTACCAGGCACCTTTTGAGTCAACTCAAAAGTCACATGTTCCTACCAGGCACCTTTTGAGTCAACTCAAAAGTCACATGTTCCTACCAGGCACCTTTTGAGTCAACTCAAAAGTCACATGTTCCTACCAGGCACCTTTTGAGTCAACTCAAAAGTCACATGTTCCTACCAGGCACCTTTTGAGTCAACTCAAAAGTCACATGTTCCTACCAGGCACCTTTTGAGTCAACTCAAAAGTCACATGTTCCTACCAGGCACCTTTTGAGTCAACTCAAAAGTCACATGTTCCTACCAGGCACCTTTTGAGTCAACTCAAAAGTCACATGTTCCTACCAGGCACCTTTTGAGTCAACTCAAAAGTCACATGTTCCTACCAGGCACCTTTTGAGTCGACTCAAAAGTCACATGTTCCTACCAGGCACCTTTTGAGTCGACTCAAAAGTCACATGTTCCTACCAGGCACCTTTTGAGTCGACTCATAAGTCACATGTTCCTACCAGGCACCTTTTGAGTCGACTCAAAAGTCACATGTTCCTACCAGGCACCTTTTGAGTCAACTCAAAAGTCACATGTTCCTACCAGGCACCTTTTGAGTCGACTAAAAAGTCACATGTTCCTACCAGGCACCTTTTGAGTCGACTCATAAGTCACATGTTCCTACCAGGCACCTTTTGAGTTGGCGCTGTGCGAGTGGCGGAGAAACAGGGTCTTGGCCATGCCTCCTACCCACCCTCTGGCCCCCAACACGACACACACCCTCTATTCCCCGTTTCGTACTCTTTTGGCCGTTCCTTGTGTGCAATGATGGTCTTTTCATCGGGTCCCCAGCAGCCATGAACTGCGTTGGCGCTGTGCAAGTGAAGCTGCGTTGGGCATACCTGAGCCTAGGGCATACCTGCCCACCCTCTCCCCCCAACACAACGCACACCCCTCTATGCCGCGTTTCGTACCCTGGGGCTGTGTTTCACACCCCTCTCCCCAGCTTCCTGGGGAAGCTGTGCCCTCGGATCCCACCCTGTGCGGCCACCCAATTTTCCTTTCCGCCCCGTTTTTTCGTACCAGGTACCTTTTGCGCAACGACGGTCCAATGACGGTCACACATTCTAGGGCATTCTATTCCAACGACGGTCTGTTCGGCGGCTCCTCATCAGCCACCTGAGCCTAGGGCCACCTTTTGCGCAACGACGGTCGGTTCGTCGGCTCCTCATCAGCCGTGAACTGCGTTGGCGCCGTGCGAGTGGCAGAAAAACTGGTTCCACGGCATACCCACCCTCCCTCTCGCCCCCCAACACAACAGAGCACAACACAAAACACACACCCTCTATTCCCCGTTTCTTGCAGGTACCTGCTGCGCAACGACGGTCTGTTCGTCGGTTCCTCATCTGCCATGAACTGCGTTGGCGCCGTGCGAGTGGCGGAGAAAATGGGTCCGGGGCACACCATCGTGACCATACTGTGTGACAGTGGGTTCCGGCACCTGAGCAAGTTCCACAATGGGCAGTATTTGACAGGACAGGGGCTTTCGCCCACTGCTCAGGGGCTTGAGTTCCTTGGGGGAAGGTTTGCAGAGAGGAAATGATGGTTCGTGTGAAGCAAGGCGACCGTACTGCAGGCCTGGAGCAGAGTGTGGCTGGCCGTACTGTGTGACAGCGGGCGATGCAGGTGGATTTGCTGGCGCACGATGAAGGCGAAAGTCCTTGGGCACCTGAGAGCAGGTTCCACAGTCCGTCCGGAGTGCCCGGGACGTCAGGGGCTGCAGCCCACTGCTCACGGGCTTGAGACCGACATCAAGGGATGTTAGGGAGTTCCATGATCCATCCGTCTCTTTGTGACCGACCAGCATGTGCGATAGTGGGTTCTTCTGTGCACCGACTGGGAAAATTGTGTACTGCAAGTACCAATCATCAACAGGGCATGTCATGAGTCATCCTTCATTCCTGATGACAATCAGTTCAACCAATTCGCATTGATAACCGTAGATTCTCCATGGAACGGCTTCTGCCAAATGCTCATTCGTAGGGAGGGAAATTAGGGAGGGAAAGTACAAAAATGTGACGAACTTGGCAGAAGCACGGCGGTGATTCATTCATCCATCTTCTGGGCGCGAAGTGAAGCACAGCCAGATGGATGTACGACAGTTGGTAGTGAAATTCGATTCCACCATTTCCAGGCAATCAAAAAGTTTTCCCTCCTGATTTTCGTGCTGCTTCACTTCCCACCCACGCTGCTGCTTCGCTTCCCACCCACACTGCTGCTTCACTTCCCACCCACACTGCTGCTTCACTTCCCACCCACACTGCTGCTTCACTTCCCACCCACACTGCTGCTTCACTTCCCACCCACACTGCTGCTTCACTTCCCACCCACGCTGCTGCTTCACTTCCCACCCACACTGCTGCTTCACTTCCCACCCACACTGCTGCTTCACTTCCCACCCACACTGCTGCTTCACTTCCCACCCACACTGCTGCTTCACTTCCCACCCACGCTGCTGCTTCACTTCCCACCCACGCTGCTGCTGCATGATCATGTGCTGGCATCAGCAATAACAGAGTGAGACGTCCATCCATCAGTCACTTACACCGTGCTTGCAATGCCATAGGGTTAGAGAAGCACGCAGGCACACACCGGTGCAGTGTGGCAAACAGGTGGACTGGGAACTGGAGCAAGTCTGGTTGCATCTCCCACGGAATCAGCATCATGGATGAGGATTGAGCAACAAGACTACCGTAGCTCATTTTCTCTTGCGTCTTCTCTTGGGCGCCTCCTCAGAATGAGCAAACTGCTCTAATTCCTGCTTCTTGCCAGCTAGATTTGATTTCCGTTCCTGTGGATCCTCAATTCCTCCCTTCCCATCAACTCCCACGGCTTCCACAGCTTCTTTCTCTTCCTTCCCTTCCGTATCTTCCTTATCTTCCGAAGCCCGGAATCCGAGCTCCTTGATAATATCCCAAGCCTCCTCATCTACAGGCGTCACCGACAGTCTTGATTGCCGCACCAGCGCGATATGACTCAATCGAGAGTCCCCCTTAATAGCACTCAGCGTAACCGGTCTAGGAACCGCCTCAACCGTTTCCACATCCACCATGCCGAATTTCCCGGTCTTATCGCTGGGATCCGGGTAATACTCTCTGCAGACACGGACAATTCCCATGACTTGGCGCTCCTTGCCCGAATGGTAAAAGAAGGCGAGATCGCCGGCCTTCATGGCTTTCATGTTATTCGCTGCTTGGTGATTCCGCACGCCGTCCCACGGCTCTATCTTTTTCTTGACTTGATCGTCCCATGACCATGTCTCCGGCTCGGATTTCAACAGCCACTTCGCACACATTAGTAACTGCGGCTTTGACCGTCTATTACAATGACTTGTTATATACAATCGCCCGAGGGAAGCGTCAAACGAAGAAGGCTTTCCGAACCTGGGATGCGGAAGGAAGAAAGGCTCAGGACCTAAACGTCTCGGCTTGTTCGCCAGGGATGATCCGAGCAACGGTAACTGAAACGCAAGAGCGCGTGCGAGAGGATAGCGCAGCAAGCATCTATGCATCTGAGCCGTAGAACAGCCAGCTGGCATGGCGTCCTGCGATCATGGTTTAGACCACAGTAGAAGATTGCTTTGTGGCCCGCTGGGGGAGGAAAATGACGGCCTCAGCTCGTTCTTTGTGTAAACGCACTATAAAATCGCAGAAGGTTAGTGCTTCATCCGGTTTAATATACCAGCAGCAGCCTATTGAAACTTTTTATACGTGTTGATGCAAGTCAAGCAATGAACTAGCAACATCACGGCTGTAGTTATCGGAGGACTGGACCACGGCAGCTGCTCCTAGGTGTTCCTTCACCAGAAAGGGGTCTGAAAAGAAGCATGACACGGAAAAATTTGCATGAGGGCCTGGCATGGCATGGGACACACAAGTGAGGACCCAACCTCTCACTACACATCTCTGCTGTACTGGGAACATGTAACGCATGCTTGAGGAGAGTGCTCATTGGCAAAAGCGTTGGGAAAGGGTGAGGTCGAAATAAAGGGAGAGATGGACGTGGGCGCATGGGGAGAGGGAAAAAGATGGAACCATACCTGTCCACTTGCCATCTTCTGGGGAGTTGAGAGAACGGTGCCGGTGCTTCAGCTGTTGTCCGGACAGTCACCTTGCTTGCACTCCCACCAACAGGCGGCGTGTGTAAGGGTGCAGATGTTATTACAGCCTCGCCTGAGAAGGAAAGCACACGGGAGCAGTCTGGTGAACCAGTTTGAGACGCCTACAAGCATGATGCGCTGGGACGATCAGGTAAGCAATCAGGAGCATGGCAGCAAGCTGGAAAACGAGCTACCAGTAGGGTAAGAGAGACGGAGAGAAGGTGGGGGAGAGGGGGGCAGGGATGGGGAGAGAAGAAGGGCGAGAGGGAGAGAGTGAAAAAGAAGGGTGTGAAAGTTAAGACTAGTGGAGGGATTCATATCAGTACCTGATAGGGGGCCCTCGGGAATCAAGGGCGTATTCTCATCACTCCCAACGCACTTGGCCGTGCCACTCCTCCAACCTTGCTTCTTTGCACTTCCACCGCCGGCCCCTCCAAGCCCCACGCCCCACCCGGAGCCCTTCCCCTTGCCTCCCTTCACACTCCCACCCGTTGCTGCAGCAGCGTCCAGTGGCCCTCCACCATACCCCACATCCTCTTGGCTAAACGACCAGTGGCTCATAGGCGTGTAGAACTCCTCGCCTTCTCCTCCTGTTGCTGCTGTTCCTCCCCCCGTCCCACAGCTCCCACTCACAGCACGCCCACTGCAGGCAGCAGCAGAGGAGGAGATGTGTTCAGCTGCAGCTGCCCTGGCCCTTTTGCCCAAGAGAGGGCTGCGGATGCTGTCCCTGTCGGCCGTGCTGCCTTCTCTGTTGGCCATGCTCTGGAGACCTGAAAGCACGCCCCTCAACCGCGTTCGCACTCTCCTCGACCCTTCGGTCTCGTGACCCAACCCAGAGGGCCGCACACGCTTGGGCTCACTCCCAGGGGCAGCTACGGCCGCTGCTGCTGAAGGCTCAAGGGCTTTCTGAGGGGAGTCGAGTGCTACAGCCTTGACCGCTGCTGCCAGCTGCTCGTGCAGGGAGGTGATCTGAGCGTCCTGTAAGAGGTGGGAGGCAGGAGGAACGAGTGGAAGGAAGCAGGCAGCAGCGGCACGAGGAATGAGCTACTAAGGCACGTGTGTACGAGGCATGCATGCCATATTTGCAGCAGCCTCCACCTTGTGTTTGAACCAACTGGATTGACCCGGGACCAGGACTAATGACTCACACTGCTGAAAGAGCGACAATTTACCAAGTGTCCTTACCTTAGCCTTGACTTCCTCTTGCAGCTGCTCCACCTTCCATACCAGCGCATCCGCCTCAGCACTCTTCCCACTCAGCTGCTGCTGCGCTGCTCTCAGCTGCTGCCCTAGCCCCTCCACCTGCCTGGCAGCTGCCTCCTGCCGCCGCATTGCCTCCTCCCACCGCGCCTTCCCCTGCGCCTCCATCTCAGTGACTCGCTTCATCAGCCCCACCACCTCCCTCTCCTTCGCCTCCTTCAGCTGCAGCAACGACTCCACCTCTCTCTCAGCATCGCTGATCTGCTCCCCCCCTCCATGCACAGACCCTGCAGTCCCTTTAGCCACGAGTACCCCTACCTCCTGCTCATCCCCAGCCTTCGTTACTGCACGCAGCACCCCTGCAGCCATTCCCCCAGCAGACAACCCTACTTCAACCACTCCCAGCTGCTGCTGCCTCTCCTCCATCTGCTTCTCTATCTCTACCGCTTCAGCCGCCACGCTCACCGTCCTCTCAACCACCTGCCTCCTCCCCGCCTCCTCCTCCTCTCGCTCCCTCAGCGCCCTCTCCACCTCCCGCTTCTCCCCCTGCACCTGCTGCAGCGCCCGGCCCACCTCCAGAAACTCCCGAGTCTGCTGCTGGCAGGTGTGCTCCAGCTCGCCCCACTGCGCCTCCCACCCTGCCACCTTCCCCTCCACCTCCGCTACTAGCTTCTTCAGGGTGTAAACGCCTCTGAGAACGGACCCCCTGAGCCAGCAGGTGTCGTCGTGTGCCATGGTGGCATCGACTCCTGCTCGCACTAGCTGCTGTGCAATCATGACTTGCCTCGATACCACAGCTAGAGGGGGGAGGGTCAGACCCTCACTAGGGCTCGCTACATCTCCTTCTGCCACCAGGTCCTCTGCTTCCCGCTCCTGCTCATTAATTTGCTTGCCCTGCGACACACTTTCAGGCCGATTCTTTGGTCTCTGATCTAGCGTGCTCACTCCATCCAGCCTCTCCTGTGCCCTGTCTCCTGGGCTGCTCTCATCTGCTTTCACGCCCAAGAACCCTAGCAGCAGCACCCTCTGCTTCTGCAGCGCGTTTAGCACCGTCGTCACCTGCTCTGTATCCTCATCTTTCTCTGACCCGACAACTCCCACCCCTGGCTCTTCCTTACCAGCGCCTGCACCCGAGCCATCTTCCAGTTCGAGGCCTCCCTCTCCCCCCATCCCGCCAGATGCTCCCAGCTTTGAGCCAATGCGGGAGGAGAGGCCTGCAAGGCCAGCCCGGCAGAGCACCACAGCCAGCAGGCTTTCCACCAGCACCACCTGAGCCACGGCCCCACGCACCTCCTCCACCTGCATGCGCCTCTGCTGGGGCCCTATATCCGCTGGCTGCCCTATGTCTGCACCCATATCACTAGCTTCCACGCCAACTTCCACCCCACCCTGCCCACATCCGTCCTGTGCATGTTCCTCCTTGCTTGGCTTGTTCTCCACCCTGTGCAGATTCAGGTCCACGTCCAGCTTCCCCTGCTCCTGCTCCAGCTGCTGCCACCTCACCCGCCACCCCTCAATAACCTCCTCACTCGCTCCAGCGCCCATGACTGCTCTACCTCCAATCCCTGCATCTCCAGCCCCTGCGTCTCTCAGCAGCGGGCTCACCAGCAGCTTCTGCAGCGCTCTCTCTCTCGCCACCACTGCAGCGACACGGGCATGCATCTCAGAGCACTCCTGCTCTGCCAACGCGATCAGCCCCATCATACCCCTCGCCCGCTCCTCATCCGCAGCCAGGCGAGCCATAAGCTCCTCCAGTTGGCGAACCAGCCCCGGTTTCCCCCTCTCCTGCTCACCATCGCTCCCTCCGCCCACCTTATGCTTTGCGTCCTCCTCTCCAGCATCCTCCTCTCCAGCATCCTCCCTCTTGATGTGCGAGACATTGCCTCCCACCTGCTTTCTCTCAGACTTCGCCACCGCTGGCCACATCTTGCCGCCCAGGCCCTCAGCTTCAGCCTGCAGCCGCTCACACTGTTGCTCCAGCGCCCTCACCTGCTCTGCCAGCTGCCTGTTTCTGCTCTCCACTTCCTCCACGTGCTCCCTCACAACCGCCAGCGCAGCATCCACGTCAGCCATCACCACCTCATCTGCATCCTCCACATCAGCTGCATCCCCCACATCAGCTCCACTCTCCGCCTTAACCACAGCCTCCACCTTCCCCTCAGCTGCATACTCTACCTTAACCACACCGTCTGTTTTTCTTCCCGTTTGCTCCTGCAGTTTACGACTCAGCCTAGTCAGCTTGCTCCTCAGCCTAGCCCGCTCCTCCTCCATCTCACTCATCGCCTCCCTGCTCACCTCCAGCCTCTTCTTCACCCCACTCAGCTCCTCACACAGCAGCGCATTCCTCGGCCCCACAACCATCAGCTGCTGGAAGTACGCATCCCTCTCCTCCCTCAGCCTCACTTTCTCCGCACCCAGCTGTAGACAAATCTGCCCAATCTCCTCTTTCTCATCCTCCTCCGCCTGCTCCCTCTCCGCCTCTCTCTCCACCGTCTGCAGCAGCGCCAGCTCCAGAGCCTGCCCCTTCGCCCGCAGCTGCTGCACAACCTCCCGCATCCTAACCATCACAGGACCCGCCTTCTGCATCTTCCCAGACAGGGATTTCACATCAGCATGCGCGGTTGCTAACTGCTTCACCATGTGCCGCACCTGGACCTCCATAAGCCTCAGCTTCTCCGCCTGCAGCTCTGTCTGGCTCACTGGGGCGCTCCTCCGCCTCTTCTTCTTCTCCAGCCTTCTCCCCAGGGCGTTGTGTGCGGCCCTTTCTCCTCCTCCCGCAGTGTCTGTGTATCTGTGTGGGTCGTTGTCTGTGTCTGTACTAACAGAAGTGGTGTCTCCAGCAAGGGGCAAAGTCCACCTGTTCGAGAGAAAGGCAGCAGCAGAGGCAGGCAGTGCGGGCATGTCCACAGCAGCACCTGTGTCTGCTGCACTACCGAGCTGCACAGGACTGGGAGCAGAACCAGGGCCGCCTGTAATACCAGCCTTGCCGCCTGCATCAGCAGCACTGGCACCTTTCTCTGTTGCACGCAAGGGGCTTGCCCTGTTGGTCACGTCACGCAGCTCTGAGAGGCAGAGGGTCATCGGGCTGAAAGCCTCCTCCTCTCCTCCACCTCTCTCCACTGCATCCTCTCCGCCCCTCACAATCTCCTGCCACCTCCTCTTGCCGCTGCTACCTCCTCCCACATGCTTCTGCCACTGTTCCGTGTCCTGCTCCCGCTGCTGCTGCTCCTCCTCCTCCTCCTCTTCCTCCTGCCGCTGCTGCTGCTGCTGCTGCTCTTCCATTTCCTTCTCCAACCTTATAGCCTGCTCCATCAGGGCCACTCTCTCCCGCTCCAGTTCCTCCACCCGTTCCTTCGCCTCCTGCAGGCTCTGCAGCGCGGAGCACAGCTTCTCCTCCAGCTCCAGGTTCACCTGCTGCAGGGTGCGCCCACCAGCAGCGTACTCCTCCGCCTCCCTCCTAGCCCTCTCCGCCGCCTCCTCCGCCCGCCTCTGCCTCTCACAGGCGGCCTCCAGCAGCCCGTCCCGATCCCCCACCTTCTCCGCTAGATGGATCACCCGGTCCCTCTCCGTCCTCAGCTCTTCCTCTAGCTGGGCTATCCTCTCGCCCATCTCCGCCAGCTTCTCTGAACCACCAGCAGCACCATCAGCGCCATCACCATCCCCGCTGGTCCCTGCGCCTTGCTCTGCCGCAGCCCACAGCAGCTCCCGCTCCTTTTCCAGCGCCTGAACCTTCTCCTCCATCTCCACGAGCTTGCTCTTCATCGCCTCAACGGCCTCCGCCAACGCCGTTCTCTGCTCTTCCAGCTCGCTCTCCTTCTGTCTCGCAGCCTCTTCCGTCTCCACCTGCTTCCTCGTCATCCCCTCTAGAGCCTCCTCTAATGCCGTCTTCTGCGCTTCCAACGCCCTCTCCTTCTCCCTCCCAGCATCTTCCATCGCCACCTGCATTCTCTTCATTCCCTCAAGAGCCTCCTCCAACGCCTTCCTCTGCTCTTCCAGCGCCCTCTCCTTCTCCCTCCCAGCAGCTGCTGCCTCCGCCCCCTCCTCTACAATCCTCTCCTTCTCCTCTACCAGAGCCTCCACCTGTTTCTGCACCGCTTCCAGGTCTGCCCGGAGCTGTGCTGCTTCTGCTGTGCTTTTCTCCCTCTCGGCTGCGCTTCTCGCGCTCTCTGCCTGGCACGCCTGCAGCTCCCGTGCGAGGGCGGCTCTCTGTGCGTCCTGCTCCGCTGCCTGCACCTTGAGCACGGACTCGACCTGCTGGGCCGCTGCCAGCTGCTGCAGCAGCTTGCTCACCTTGGCCTCCGCCACTCCACACCGCACCCGGGCCTGGAAGCACAAGCAAGGTAGGGATGCACGCGGTATTGTAAGGAGCACCGTAGATGAAAGCAGTGGAGTGGTTCAATCGCCTCTCCACCCGTAGTATACAAGGTTCTAGAAGAAATCCAGCTATCTACTGGAGGTATTTAAGAGCGGGGTTTCAAGCTTACATCATCGAACTCGTGCTTGCGCTCGTTGACGCTGCGCTGAAGGTGCCTCGTGTTGTTCACCTCTTGCCGGTACTGCTCTGCCACTGCTGCCACCTTCTTCACCTGCAGTGACAGCACGGAAGCAAGCGTTTGTCAGCTAGCAGTCAACAGAGAGGAGGAGAGAACCATAACGAGAAGCAAGATCCTGCAAGAACTTGCATGCGCTGGTTCCTTTTTAAACTATCCCCACTCACATGCTCCTCCATGCCAACGAGTTTCGCTCGGAGCTCGTCCCGCTCCCTCTGCAGCCCCTCCGCCTCGCCTCTCAGTGTCTCATTCTCGTCGAACGCCTCCTTCAGCTCCTCCCTCAGCGCGTTGTTCAGCCGCTCCAGCGCCCCCACCTTGTCCGCCTCACTGGAGTCGCTCTGCAGCTGCTGCTCCAGCTCGCTGATGCGGGCTGCAATGTAAAAGGGGCGACATCACAATGAGAAAGGGAAGCATTGGAAAGAGTCAAGTGTGCTGCAGCAACAGTGTGTTGTTCAGCTGCTCCAGAGTCCCCACCTTTTCCGCATCACCTGCCTCTCTCCAGTTGACTGATGCAGGCTGCCTGTTGCAACGGTGCACTTTCCATGCCTGAATCTATGCACGCACCTTTGCCCACACCTTTGCCCACATCCACTTCGAGCTGGAAGCGGATGGCGCCGGGGTTGCGCTCCACCATCCTCCTCAGCACCTCCCCCGCCTGAGACAGCTCCTGCACTGCTGCAGCGTCCTACCCCCGTACACACCCCCCATCACACCCACACACCATGCCTTATGGAACGCACCTTTGCACACATCCACTTCGAGCTGGAAGCGGATGGCGTCAGGGTTCCTTTCCACCATGCGTCTCAGCACCTCCACCTCCTCAGACAGCTCCTGCACGGCTGCCGCGTCCTCCCCCCGCACGCACCCCCCGTCGCACCTCCCCTGCCCCTCCAGCCTCCCGATCCTCTCCTCCCGCAGCTTCACCACCATCTTGAGGCCCTGTGGCACACGGCAGCAAACACCAGCAATCATGCCAAACAAGAGCACAGAAACGTGAGTTGAGATGTCTCAAAACACCTCCCCTGCTACTCTAGCCTCCCGATTCTCTCCTCCCGCAGCTTCACCACCATCTTCAGACCCTGTGGCACCAGGCAGCAGCCATCATACCCAAGAAAGCACACAAACGTGAAGCAAAAAACAGTATGACGAACGACTCTGCACACAGTAATGACCTGTGCACTACAAGCACAAGGAAGCCCGTCAAAATGTGACTGACCTCAGCTCTCTTTCCCTCCTTCATCAGTCCCGAGCAGCCTTAGCACCTCGAGACGTAGGCTCACCTGCACGCTTCTGACCAGCCCTTCCGCCAGGGCTTCAGCTGCCTCGGCCCTCTTCCCCTGCTTCGCCACCTCCTGCGCTGCCTGCCGTTCTGCTTCCAGCGCCCTCTTGGTGGATTGGGAGATGATGTGCTCCAGACGACAGATGCGCTGGTTGTCTGAGGTGGGGGGAAGCAGGGATGACAGCACAGGAATACAAGCTCACACAGTGGAGGATCCTCTTACGATGAAAACACCATAAGACGAGAGCATCAAAGGAAAACACAGACCGCCAAACAAGACCCCGGACTTAAGGACGGACACTTCAGAACAGGGTTGAACTCTACCTGACATCGGCGCAGCAGAAGGGCTCGGTGGAGGCAGTGGTTGACCAGGCACGCCTGCTGTTGCATTGGCTGCATGCACAAAACAAGAGAGTCCAGGGTTAGCCCATCACATAAGTTGGAAGTTGTTATTGGAACCCGTCTGATGACTTTAAACGAAGTTCCTGACAGAAACACAGATTGAACAGGAGCAGACACATTCGGATAAGAAGCTCACCTCTCAGCTCAGCGATCTCCAGTCTCAGACGGCGGATCTCCTCGCCCATGACAGCAGGATTGCCCATCATGAGCTCGTTCACCACCGCCTCGTTGTGCATCAGCTTGGCGCGCTGGGCGAACTTGAGCGTGGACAGCGTCTCCTCGATGTTCTTCTCCGCAGGGCTCACAGCGGCCAGCAGCGTGCACTTGGAGTTCCCTCCCAGAGAGTCCTGAAATGACGGATGTAGACGGAGTCAGCAGTCAGACGGACGTGTTTTGGTCAAACTAGGAGGTTCCTGAGCACCAGCCGTAAACTCAACGATGTGATTCCCAAGGGATTCCGACAATCCCTACACGAAGGTTACTACAAGGGATTCCCAAGGTTACTTACGCTCAACAGGAAGGTGAGCTTCGAATCTCGGTAAGGCACGTGGCGGACCTTCCCCTCTGCAATGTCAACCAGCGCCTGCACAACGACCACCCAATGTCAGAATCAATGATACATCTCAAGAACAACCCAAAAGCTGTGAGCTATCTAGCCAAGTTCTTCTGTACCTTGATGACGTTTCCCAGTGCAGAGAGCGACTTGTTGATGCTGCCTGCCTCCTTGAGCCTCACCCCCTGCGCCTCGCTGTGCTTCTGCCTCTCCGACCCCGCCAGATCCACCAGGTTGAAACGCGACGTCCTCCTGTTCATCACCCCCGCGTCGTCCCTCCTCTGCACTCCCACAAAACACGCAAAGGACACCAGCAAGGAAAATCAGTCAAGAAAACATTGATCAGCAAGAAAAAGACGATTCAGCACAAAACATGGTCAGCCAAGGAAGAAGAGGAGAAGTCGGGTTATCCAGCACGTATTAGAGCAGACGTCACAGTATCAGAAGAAACTTGTACAGTACCTGGGTTTCGACGACAATAGTGAACACGCTGTGCGAGCGGCTGCTCTCCATGTTCATGGCGGTCTGGCCCACGCGTCGGTTCTGCGAGCCTCTCTTGAACAACGCGTACGTCGCCTCGGCCGTCGACACCACCACCTCCTGCAGGCCCTCCACGAACATGCCGTGCCTCAGGTCCTCCCTCACATCTGCGGTACAGAATAAGCGCAGCTCAAAATCAGAAATCACGTGTATGATAACTTAGAAAAACACGGAATCTGGATCCTCGTGGGTATGACAAGACCCCTCGTGGGTGTGATCAGACCTCCTCAGGTTGGCTGAATCGACTCGAAGTTACATGGTATAAACAAATACAGGTTGTCAGGACGTACTCAGGTTCATCGAGTCTGGTTCCAGGAGGTCTGAAACCTGCTCGTTGTAAATTTGAAGGTAAGAGCATCGGATGGTGAATTCCAGCATCTGGAGCTCCTGCACGCATCAGATGTGACAACAGTTCTACGTAAGACCGAAGTACTCGTTGTAAAGCGCGACCCAAGAAATCTCTTCCTATCTCTTTTATAAATGGAAAAGTAAAAGGTGTCATACCCTGTCAGCCGAGAGCTTTCGAAATATGTATTGCAGGATTCGCGGAATCAGGCCTCGCTTGTCTGTGCTGGATTGGGCTCCATCCCCATCGCTCTCACCATCCGGTCCTGAAATCGACGAAATTGAATATTAGTCTTGCCATACCCTGAAACCAGTGTATAAATCAAGCCTGTTGATGATGAGCAAGGCTTCGCCTTACCTTCCATAGTAAACGTCTTCCCAGCGCCGGTTTGACCTGCGATCCAACGGCATCGCGTTATGAGCTCTACAAAACAGTCTAAAACATACTCTAAAACGGCACGAATTCGCAAGTCACCGTACCATACGCGAGCAAACAGCAATGGTAGCCTTCCAGACATGCGTCGGTGATGGGCTTCCCAACAGTCGCGAATATTTCCTCCTGCAGGCAGAAAACAGAAGGGCTTTATTCACACGAACTTCCCGTTTCGAACACACGGTCTGAAGCCGGCGTAAAAGCATGAATCAGATTCTTCGGATAACTAGGCTAAGGAGCCAGGCGCTTATGCCATATTTCGAATGTGTTACGCAACACCTCCTTGCTGCGATTTTCAAAATCACATAAAACCCGTTGTCACCTGGCGCTTGTCCTCGTCAGCTATGTAGTCAAACGAGAAAGGCTTCGGTTGAGGCCTCGTCAAAAGCTGCAGCAGCTTCGTGCTGGGGTCGACAGCGATGCACTTGTGATAGCCTAAATCGTTCTCGCGGTCGTTCGGCGGCCGAACTCGCACGACCACCTGCACGTTCGAGTTGGCTCTAGCGACGGCACCCGGATCCAGATCTCCGGAGCTGTGACGTTCTAGCGCCATCGTGTCGTGAAGATACGCGTTCTAAGGAAAGGAAGAAGTAATGACGGCTAGAAAGGTATCGCGGGTGAGTGGATGGATCGGCTTGTGAAGCACCGAAGCGGTCACGAAAAATGGAGGGATTCTGGAAGCGGCTCAATGTTACGCAAGCGAGGAGCTTGGCGTGCACTTGAAACAAGGGACCTGGAAGTTGTTGGAGCAACCTAATTTAGATTTGCGAATCCAGCCACTGACTAATGGACCTATCCGAAGCAGTTCAGTCACAGCAACGATCGAGATCCTAAGCACCACGAGCTGAGAGATGCTCGGTCTGAACTAAGAAAGTACGTAATTGTTTGCTTAGAAAATGAGAGATCCTGACGCCTTCTTCCTAGGCACGCACGAAGAGCGCGAAAATAAGAGAGCAGTCAGCTCAGGCCACATGCCAAGAGAAGACGTGAGGCCAAAGCCCAGGGGACATAGAAATGTTTGCTTTCTGGAAGCTGAGGATCGCTCTGCCTGATCAGGAGGAAGCAGAGGACAGCACGGTGGAGAGGAGGTTGAGATGAGGAGAAAAGGACGGTTCGAGCAGCTCTCGAGGTTCTGAATTTGTGTGGTTCAGTGGAGCAGGGTTGGCGGGAAAATGTCTCTGACACCTGCAAGTTTGAACAGGGTGGTAACCATCTGACAAGGTGGTGACGTGTGTAAGGCGGTGCCATGATGTTCTGTTATAAAAATATCCAGATAGGAATCGAGTAATGCAATAGTGAGGTCGTGATTAAAGTGTGTAGAGTACAAATGAAGCACAGGGCTAAATACAAGCAGAGCTAGCCTAGCAAGAGAGCCTCGAGGAAGGTCACGAAACACACGCGAGGTGGTTTGGGACGCCTCGGGATTCAAAGTGTCGGATGCTACGCCGTATATGCTTGGGGTCTCGAACGCAGTTCGTCTTAGCGTAGAAAAGGTCGACTAGAATGTTGATATACGGTGATTTTGTCTAAGTGGTTGTACTCACTAAGAGTACGCATCTATCTAGCCTATAGCAACATATGAATATATGTTTGACACACCCCCTAGGCTAGATAAGGGGGCAGAGTGGGGCAAGAGACCAGTATCAAAACATATCTTAGTATGTTATAGACTGTATAGGTTTGTGCCTTAGAGGGTACAACACTAGCCTATATTCTCTTGTACTCTCTCATTCTAGTTCATTCCATCATTCTCACATGGTATCATGAGTAGTTTAGGTCCCATTCGCCCACCCGCGCTTCCGCCCTAGGTCCTAGCCGCCCGTTCCCGCGCCCGTCCCGTAGCCGGCCTGTGCCCGTGCCCGTCCCGTAGCCGGCCCGCGCCCGCGCCCGTCTCCTAGCCGGCCCCGTGCCCGCCTCGTCGCCGGCCCGCGCCCTCCTCGTAGCCGGCCCCGCGCCCGTCCCGTAGCCGGCCCCGTCTCGCGCCCGTCCCGTAGCCGGCTTGAGCCCGCTCGTAGCGACCCCCCCGCGCCCGTCCGTTCACTGGCCCTCGCGCCCGCCCGTAGCCGGCCCCGCGCCTGTCCGTAGCCGGCCTTGCGCCCGTCCGTTAGCCGGCCCCCGCGCCCGCCCGTAGCCGGCCCCCGCGCCCGTCTGTAGCCGGCCCCGCGCCCGTCCGTTCGCCGGCCCCATGCCCGCCCGTCACCGGCCCCGCGCCCGTCCGTTAGCTGGCCCCCAGCGCCCGCCCGTAGCCGGCCCCTGTGCCCGTCCGATGCCGGCCCCGCGCTCGTCTGTTAGCCAGCCCCGCGCCCGCCCGTAGCCGGCCCCCGCGCCCGTCCGTCGCCGGTCCCCGCGCCCGTTCGTAGCCGGCCCGTCCCCGCCCGTTTGTCGCCGGCCCGTCCCTGTCCCGCCCCGGCTCGCTCTCAGCGCCCGGCCCTGACGCCCAGCTGCACGTCCCGTGCCGCCGGCTCCTGCACTGCGCTGCACCGCACTGCACCGCCCGTCACCGCACTGCACCCCACTGCACCGTACTACACCCCACTGCACCACACTGCACAGCAGTTGCATCGCCCCTGATGGCGGACTCTGTGCTGCGGTTTGACGCGGAGGGTCAGCCGATCGAGTTTGACACGTGGCTCGTCGACCTCCACCATCACCTCACTGGGCAGCGGCAGGACGGCCACTCCTTGGCTGTACACCTCGACGGTACGCTCCCCTGTCCTGACCCCCCTGCTGCGCTGCCCGCTGACCCCACGTCTGCTGAGCGTGAGTCCGCTGCTGCTGCAGCCCTTGCCCGCTCGGTCTGGTTGTCGCGTGACGCTGTTGCCCAGCTAGCCATCAGTCATGCCCTTCCCCTGTCTGAGCGTCCCCGCTTTAGGCCGGTCAGGACCGCCCAGGAATTCCTAGATGCTGTTATTAAGCGCTATTCCACTCCGTCCGCTGCCTCCGTCGGTCGCCTGATCCTGCCTCTGCTGTTTCCTGACCTCGCGTCTTTCCCCACTGTCGCTGACCTAGCCGCCCACTTGCGCACGCTAGACTCGACCTGACGCTCTGCCTGCACTGAGGCCCAGCTCCACGTGTTCCAGCCCCCCCTCTGTACTACTCTGTACCTGCTTGCCACTCGCCTCCCTGACCGTCTTGCTACTGCCCGCAATAGTTTTCTTAGTCTCCACCCCGCCGACCTCACCCTCACTGACTTTGTCGACACCCTGTCAGCCATAGAGACTCGACAGCGCTCTATCGCCCAGTGTAGCGGTATTGTGCCAGTCTCTATCTTTCAGGGATATGCGCCCGCTCAGTGCACTTTCTCTGACGGATCTGCAGCTGTGGCTGAGACAACAGCTGCAGTGCAGTTTCATCCGGAAAAGGGCCGCCGCCCCAAGGCTGGGCGCGGTGGTGGTGGTGGCGGCGGTGTGGGTGGAGGAGGTGCTGTCGCAGGGTTGCCATCAAGGGGTGCGGAAGAGGGCGCTGGGCCTGGCACCACCGAGCAGCAGTCTCAGCAGCAGCAGCCAGTTCCACCGCAGGATCAGCAGCAGCCGCAGTAGCCACTGCAGCAGCAGCAGCACCAGCCACCACGCCAGCAGCAGCAGCAGCGGCGCGTTGGTCGTCTCCCGCCAAGGTGGCCCGGAGCTGGCCGTCACAGGATTGAATGTGTCAAGGAAAGGTTGCACTATCGATCAGTACAAGGCACCTTTATACTTCCAAAGTACATCAGGTAACCAGGTTTATCCTATCCCAAGGGAATAGACCCTTCTAGAAAATAGAATCACCCTGCGTATAGCCACGCGAGGCTATTGGATTTAAGGGATTACGGCATGATTACGCTAGATATAGCGTACCAGTACATCCCGAGCCTGGTCGGTGATATAATGATAATAACAGGATAACCCAAAGGTTTATGGAAAAGGAGAAATAGGAATCCAAATGGAATGAGATAAAAACCAAATGGATCAGGATAAAAAGAGGAATGGAATGGAAAGGGAATATGGAAAGGAGAGAGGAATGGAACGGGGTCGTACTCTCACACTGACGGTGGCGGCGGTCGCGCTGGTCATGCGCGTGGCGTGCAGTCGGGTGGTGGCTCCGACGACGGGCGCTGTCAGTACCAGCTTCAGACCGGTCCTCACCGTGGCCTTGTGTGCGGTAAGATCAGTCACACCCCCACTCGCTGTTTCAGTCGCTTGGACAACCTGTTTCGTCTTTGCTTCGGCCCGTCGCCCAACCTCCCTAACTGGCTCAGCTTGCTCCGCCAGGGTGTTCAGATATTTGATATGGACATGGATGAGATTAGCTCTGCGTTGTATGTGCTGTATGTTGATGACTCTAGTATGATTGGTTCTTCTTACCCAGTGTTGCCTTGTGTAGGTGTGCTTAATTGAGACCCCCCTGCTGCGTCAGGCGTAGGCTCTCCTGCTTTGTTTAGCCTAGGCTCCTCTCTTGCTCCTACCGCTCCTGCCGTCACTGCCGCGCTCTCCTTCACCCTTGACTCTGGCGCTTCTCGGTGCTTCTTATGGGACTCCACTACTCTCACGCCACTCCCAGCCCCTGCCGCAGTTTCCCTGGCTGACCCCTCCTCCGGCCCTGTCGTAGCTCGTAGCTCCACTACCCTTCCCTGTCCAGCGGTTCATTCGGGCTCCCTTACATGCCTGCACATTCCCTCGTTCTCTAGGAACCTAGTTGGTGTCGACTGCCTCCATGACCTTGGCGTCACCACTACGTTCCCTGGTCACGAGCGGTACGCTGTCTGTACCAAGGCCGCCACAGGTGCTACCCTCTCCACGTTCCCCCGGGACCCGGTGTCTGGCCTGTTCACATTGGACACCGCCCCCCCCTCGGTTGTGGCGTCTCCCCAGGTGACTGTGTCTCCTCAGGTAACTGCGTCTTGCTCGTGCCGGTCGCTCACTCACCCGATGCTACTGTGGCACCACAGCCTAGGTCACCCTGCCCTCCCCTGTCTTTGTCACATGTCTCAGCACGGTCTTGTTCTAGGCCTCCCTGGGGCGTTCCCTGTGCTCCCCCCCTCACCCGCACCGCCGTGTTCCCCCTATGTCGAGGGCCGGCTCCGCCGTGCCCCTCACTCCTCCTCGTTCCCCCCCACCACTGCACCCTTGCAGACCTTGCACATGGACGTCTGGGACCCTGCCCCGGTTCATGGGCCGCGTCATGAGCATTAATTCCTTGTCCTTTTTGACGACTACACTCGTTACACCACCGTCTTTCCCCTGGAACGGAAGGCCGACGTACCTGACACTCTTATCCCGTGGCTGGTCTCTGCGCGAGTGCACCGCGGCCTTCCTGTCTTGCGTCTTCAATCCGACCATGGTGGCGAGTTTGCCTCCGGCAACCTTGGTCATTTTTGCCGTGCGGAGGGCATCACCCAGACGTACACCCTGCCGGACTCCCCGCAGCAGAATGGGGTCGCTGAGCGATTCATCGGTCTGGTCATGGAGGTGGCTCGTACCTCCATGATCCATGCTGGTGCACCCCATTTTCTGTGGCCGTTCGCCGTTCGCTACGCTGCTCACCAGCTTAACCTGTGGCCGCACCCCCAGCAGCCGCGGGTTTCGCCGACCCTTCTCTGGACCGGGTTCCCTGGTGACGAGTCTGTGTTCCACGTCTGGGGCTGCCTTGCTCACGTCTCGTGGCCCTGTGGCGCAGTCATTGCTGTCTGCCCCCTTCACCATGTCTCCTCCTCCACCTTTGTAGCCGCAGCTGCCGTCGCCGCAGCCGCAGCCGCCGTTGTCCCCACTGCAGCAGCAGTTAGTGTCCTCTGGGGGTGCTGGTGCTGAGGAGGGTGCCCGTCCTGGGGGCAGTGCCGGTGCTGTGGCGGTCTCTGGTTTTGGGAGCGTTCCTTCTAGGGGTGCTGAAGTGGAGTGTTCCGGAGGTAGCCGTGTAGCAGCTGGCGGTCCAGGTGTCCGCGTCGTGCAACCGCAGCAGCAGCGGTCGCCGCCGGTGTCCACCCTCCGCCTGCTCGGCCTTCCCTCCCCTGACCGCGCGTCTGCGCCTCTCTTACC